GATATGTTTATTCATTTATTCATTTATACTTATTGATGTATTGTTAGAAAACAATACACGTAAGATGATACACTATATATTAAGCGGCACGCCAGTACACGGGTACTCGCGGCCTCGACGGGATCATCGGGAATGATCTCGTTCTTCGCCTGTCGCAAGCTTGCTCGCCCTCTGTACAACAATAGCATACCTCCATGATAAATCACAGTCATCTTCACCATCATCATATATCATCATCATCATCATCATCATCATCATCATCATCGACATCATCAACATCATCAACATCATCATCACCAGAATGATCTTTAAAATACACAAAAGAAAGCCACAGCAATGATCACAAGAGCGAACTGTCGGACTCAGGGCCCGGCGAGGTCTACATCTACGGGCACATGGGACGCAGCCTGAATCTTGCAAGTCATCCCCAGGGTTTAGGGTTTAGGGTTTAGGGTTTAAGGTTTCGGGTTTAGGGTTTGGGGTTTAGGGAGGGTTTAGGGTCGTCTGAGGACTGCACGGCGTAGTTTGCCGCAAACGCCTGAGATGCATTGCTAACCGTGGCTTGAGCAGGCCATAACAAGCCATCAGACATCATCGAAACGAAACGAGCAAGAAGAAGATGAAGAACAGAATGTAGCAAGATTTGTAGGAATCGCAAATAGTAATATAGTATAATAGCATTAGCAGGAGCGACTGCCTGCGCCTCGCCCGGTGACTGGATCGGGATATCGACCTGACGGCGTCCTGCTTGGCCCGGCTGAACCTCGCGAAGACACGGGGGGGGGAGGGGGGGAAAGTCGATGCTACTGCTACTTTCTGACGGCGTCAGACCTCCTCAAGGATGAAGTCCCGTTTTCGCGGGCCAGTTGCACTGATTTCCGCCAAGCCCACCTGACTTGCCCCAAGCCCCCTCTTGGAGGTTCAGGGTACTTTTACCCCAATGATATGTGCAGTTATAACCCACTTATGAGCCCCTTAAGCTCCCTAATCGGGTTAGAGTTGGCTTATAAGTACAGTTATAATTGGGTTACAAAGTACCATGAACCTCCAAACTGTGACCGCAACTGCCGGCTTTGCCTTGGGCTTGTCGCCTGTGAACCAAGGCCGCGGCAGGTGGTGCACCGAAGTCGTCGGTCGCATCATTGAAGACCTGATGACTCACGCAAAGCATGAGCGCAACGGCGGAAACAGAAACGTTGGGTGAGGTGCTCAAAGAAACTCACATCACAAAAGCTTGCCTGCATGGGCTGCATGTTCGGGATCAAGTCCGGGCCGCTGAAGAAATCATTGTAAGAAGTCCGCAGCCTCAACTTTCGAATCAGTAGCTGCGTAACCTGAAGAAGCAAACACAGCAAAGTGCTCTCAGCAACCAGCCCATGCTTGCGGATGAGCTCCTGCTTGAAATCCTGCAAGGACGCACCAGGAAAGCCGGATATAGCGCGCCAGCAAGCGCCCGGCCTCTGCCCGAAAGCTCACGGGACGCCTGCGCAAAGCACGAGCTGTCTAGGGTTTAGGGTTTAGGGTTTAGGGTTTAGGGTTTGGGGTTTGGGGTTTGGGGTTTGGGGTTTAGGGCTTAGGGTTTGGGGTTTGGGGTTTGGGGTTTGGGGTTTAGGGTTTAGGGTTTAGGGTTTAGGGTTTAGGGTTTAGGGTTAGGGTTTAGGGTTTAGGGTTTAGCCCCCTGGTAGTGACTACAGTCGTACTATACTTTCGTGGCACAGCAGCCCATGCTCTGCCTCGTAACTCCGGTCTTCTCCAGACTCCGAGCGCCTAAAACCCTGGGGCAGTCGAAGACAAAGGGCTTACGGTTTAGGGTTCAGGGTTCAGGGTTTAGGGTTTAGGGTTTAGGGTTTAGGGTGTAGGGAGACAGAGGGCCTCCGGCCGTTCCGAAGCTGGGATTTTCCGCATGCTTCCAGCTCTTCCTCCCAGCTCTCACATCCACTGACATCCACTGACGCAGGGCTAGGCGTTGAGCACTTATTACCCTATTGCTATGATTTTTATGGAGGGGGGGGACATGTATCTATATAGTGTATGTGTGTATATATATTTTTTTTATTCATTTTTATTTCTATTTATAATATGGATTCTGAGGTCAGCCTGAAGCTCCTTGTGATGGGATCCAGAGGGGTGATGACCTGGCTTCACCACCGTTTCATTCCAGATTTGCAAGCTGCTTGCGGGAGGGCTTCTGCTTACTCAGGGCACTGCAGACAGCTTCCTGCAGAAGGCCACGCGGCATCCCACAAGAAAGGCAAGTTCGTCCGGACTCTAAAGTGTCTAAGTCTAGGTAAGTCTAGGTGCCTGCTAAGCTTGCGGGTGTGAACTGCGCAGACTGGAAGGCACTGGTAACATGTTTTTGAGCGAGCGTGAGGCTACGACTTTGAGCTGCGTCTTTGAACCAAAAAAGTATACGGACGACAGGAAGCTTGTTGGCAGATGCCCTTTTGCATTGATTGCCCACCGAAGAGTGGACTTATCACGTCGCACGTTTTTTGGAGATTATGGCTTTGCATAGGGCGCTGGCTATACTCAGCTGCCTGCTTTGTCTGCACGCAGCAGCTAGGATACACAGACCAGAGTGCCCGCAGAGATCTGTAGAGGCCCTGCCGCACTCTGCAGCTCTGTTCATTAAAGCTACGCTTCCAAGATGCTCACTGCTGCGCTTCTTCGTCAGCAATCGGGTTGGCGTGGATCACGATGCTCTGACAAAACGCGAAGACTACACGAAGCCGGCACAGGATGCACCAACTCTCTGACAATGGCCGAAAGTAACTATAGTATAATATAGCCATATAAGAACATAAGAATATAATATGAATGTATAAAACTATACAGACCTGGGTTGCTTTACTCGAAGAGATGTGTTTGCAGCTGTTCCCGGGGCACCTCAATCTTGATTGGCCGCATTGGCCTGTTCTTGGCGTTGATGGGCTCCTGCACATAAAAAGAGAATTTAGGGTTTGGGGTTTAGGGTTTAGGGCTGCTGTAAGCTACAACTAGCTTGCGATGTTTTTGATTTCGTGGTTTCCGAGATCCGGGGTCCCTTTCAACCCAACCAGGACACCACTCCAAACCCCAAAAGCCAAACTTTTCTGCAGAGCGCGTGGGTAGATGTCAATGGGAGGCCTGAAGCGAGGCCCGAAGAGACAAGACAGTAAGACTAGAAAGAGAGCGAAGAAGGCATAAAAGACTGGCTGGTTCTTAGTAGAGAATGAGTGAGGGAATGAGGTACCCCTACATCATTCTTTAAAGGACTATACATAGGGCCCTAATTCCCTCATTCCCTACTAAGAACCAAGGGGAAGAAGGGAGCCAGAGAGACGAGTGCTGAGCCCGCAAGGGAGCGCAACTCGTCAAGGGAAGCCTTGAGTCGTCTGTCCCGACGTGAAAGACCGCGGCGCTGTCATGGACTTGACTGGGGTTTAGGGTTTAGGGTTTAGGGTTTAGGGTTTAGGGTTTAGGGTTTAGGGTTTAGGGTTTAGGGTTTAGGGTTGAGGGTTTAGGGTTTAGGGTTTAGGGTTTAGGGTTAGGGTTGAGGGTTTAAGGTTTAGGGTTTAGGGTTTAAGGTTCAGGGTTTAGGGTTGAGGGTTGAGGGTTGAGGGTTGAGGGTTTAAGGTTCAGGGTTTAGGGTTTAGGGTTCAGGGTTGAGGGTTGAGGGTTGAGGGTTGAGGGTTTAGGGTTTAGGGTTTCGGGTTTAGGGTTTAGGGTTTAGGGTTTAGGGTTTAGGGAGCCTTAAACCAAAGAAGGCCTAGAAGGGGATCGCCACGAAAAGACTAGGCAACAAAAAAACATGCCCTTGACTGAGAACCATGGAACCCTACACCCAAACCGTTCTCCTTCTCCATCTTGTCAAGGGTGTCCAAGCCATCGATCAGCCTTCCAGTGAGCTCCGGAGCCATAAGCTGTCAAAACCATCCTAAGCCCTCAACAGGGCGGGCCTCCCGAACGTAGTGTAAACACCATTGAGGTGTGGCTGGCGAGAGTACCTGCGCACAAGCCACCTCAAACCCAAGAAGGCTGAAGTGCACCACCACCTGCTTGAAGAATTGCCGGACTGAATTCCGAAACCTGCCTCCCTTCCCCACCCTTTCCCCCCCCCCTCAACCCGGTCACGTCACAAAGAATTGGCTGCCGTTGGTGTTGGGGCCAGTGTTCACCATCGAGAGAATGCCTCGCAGGTCATTCCATGACGCAAAGCCATGCGCGAGACTCCCAACCCCGAGCCTCTTCTCTCGTGTTTCAGCGTGGACACAAACTCGTCCTCACAGGCTCGCCGCACGCGGGCACATCTTTGCATGCAGGGTTTCTGACGGAACCTCGAAGTAGCCTCCATAGATGCTCTGGCCACCTTTGCCAGTGCCTGTGGGGTCGCCGCCCTGGCCGGGCATGTGACTAACAATACTAATAATAATGACAATCACAGTAATCATAATAATAATCATCATCATCATCATCAATAAGAAGTCCACAAGTTTGCAGCATGCGCCTGGATCATGAATCCCTTGATGTTTCTATGGAAGTTCGTGTTGTCATAGTAGCCTGGCATCCACTGCACCCATGGTGCACCATGTCAGCGCACCTAACTTCCACATCAAAGAAGGGATGTCCCTTACACATCACAGTAGCCCTAAACCCTAAACCCTAAACCCTAAACCCACAAAGTATCAAACAGACGGGGCTACCGGAAGCGGCTAGCGCCAAGAAGTTCTTGCACGTCTTGGGCGTCTGGGCACAAAACAGCTCGACCTGTGAGGCATGGCAAGGGCTTAGGGCTTAGGGCTTAGGGCTTAGGGCTTAGGGCTTAGGGCTTAGGGCTTAGGGCTTAGGGCTTAGGGCTTAGGGCTTAGGGCTTAGGGCTTAGGGCTTAGGGCTTAGGGCTTAGGGCTTAGGGCTTAGGGCTTAGGGCTTAGGGCTTAGGGCTTAGGGCTTAGGGCTTAGGGCTTAGGGCTTAGGGCTTAGGGCTTAGGGCTGCAGGGCTCAGGGCTTAGGGCTTAGGGCTTAGGGCTTAGGGGGCTTAGGGCTTAGGGCTTAGGGCTTAGGGTTTAGGGTCTAGGGAGGGTTTAGGGTTTAGGGTTTAGGGTTTAGGGTTTAGTTTAGGGTTTAGGGTTTAGGGTTTGGGTTTAGGGTTTAGGGTTTAGGGTTTAGGGTTTGCGGTTTGGGGTTTGGGGTTCGGGGTTTAGGGTTTAAGTTTAGGGTTTAGGGTTTAGGGATTAGGTTTAGGGCTTCAGGAAAGAGCACTCAGTACCAGGAAATGGACTGTGGAGGCTTGGACAGACTTTCGAAGAGTATCTCTACACCGCAACATGTCGAGCTGTACTGGATCTGCAACAAAGCCCTGGACATCGCCCCGAAAGGAGGGTCTAAACCCTAAACCCTAAACCCTAAACCCTAAATCCTCACGCGCAGGAAGTTCGGAACGCCTTGAGCGGGCCCAGGTTGGTCTTGATGGTGAGCGACATCTGCCTCACAGAACTTTCACTCGAAGGCCGGCCACCGAAACTTCCAAACATCACGGCTTCCACGTCCCAAGCTGCGCGCCTCTTGGGCCCCCTAAAGCCCACCAAAACACGGCGAAGCTTGAGCCGGGCGGGCAGCAGTGAACGCAGGCAACACTGTGGCGATCGCTCCAAGATGTCATGTCTAGCAAATCTAGCAACTGCAGGGAAGGCCGCCCGCCCTTTTGCTCGTCTGGGACACTTCTGGGGAGTTCGCCGCCATTCAGTACAGTCTCTGCCTGGCACACTTCCCTGACTCTGCGAATCGTTTTCGCTTTCAGTCCACGCAGGGGGTTGCTTCTTGTTGTGTTGTGCGCGTGTGTGTTCTGTGATTTCTTGCTGTGCGGTCGCTTACGCGCGAAAAACACACCCCAAGCAACCGCAGAGCAACAAAGCATGTTTTGTAGGAGCGATCACGGTTCTTGTTTCGCTCTGTCGCTTGCGTCTGTAACTGTAAGGCGCCCAAAACAAGCCACGCGTCCGCAGAGCGCAAAAAAAAAAAGAGAGTAGGCTCGACTGCGCTCTTTTTGTTGCCGTGTGGTTGCTTGTGTAAGGTGCCCAAGAAGGCGCCACGCGGGGCCAAGGGAGGCAGGGGCCTCTTGAGGCATCTTAACCCTGACCCTCTCGGGTTCGTCGGATGGTGACTGGGGGCAAGAAGATGGCGCGATGTTCGCTGAGGCACCTGCGGCCTGCTCCGAGGATCCCCAAATGGCCCCGAAGGACATAAACGTGGCGGGAGCGCTATGACATGATCGCCGTGCGTGTGGACCTGCTTAAGAGTCGAGAAACTCCAACTGGGCCCACTGAGCATCGAGCCCGGCTTGCCTCGCGGATCAGGTATCGTCCCTCATCTGCCCACTCGACGACCCTGCGGGGATCTTGCGTGGACGGCAGCTCATCATGTACCAAAGCATATGGGGGTTTACGAAAATGAGGGGCCCCTAATACAGACCCCAAACAATATGATTCCCTTACAATAAGGACCCCAATAAGGTACCCTAATGTCGGACATACTCGAGATGGTCCGGCCTTTCATTCATGGAGATCTGAATGCCCAGGTGCTGAAGGGCTATCCGCGAATACCTCAGCTGGAGAAACTGAAGCAGAACCCCACCACCCACCTTCAGCAACGTTTTGGCAATGCTTCTCAGGTGGCTTCCCCCCCCTCCCGCCTAAAAAACACAAATTTTGCTGAGGTCGGTGCCACTGCCCCAGATAGGGTATCCTGAGTGTACTGAGGGCACGTTTTTTTTTCGGGTTGACACAATCGCTTCTTAAAAGCAGCAGCCTGGAGCTCATCCACACGCCAAGGCAGCCATACCGCAACACCGACACTTCCATTCATGCGACGTCGATGACACACCCTCGGGGCCCGGCTGCCTGCTTTGGACAAAATCCTGTAGATCGTGAAGGGCAGCCTTGGCAATTCCCTCCCCATACGAAACTACGAAACACTGGCGGTTGTCTCGCTTCTTCGAATGATGGCAGGGCGGGGGGGAGGGGGGGCAACGCCAGCACAGGAACTGCAAAGCTTCATTGGCTTGTTGTCATCTTGTTGACCAGGCCCCTGTGGCCACTTCGAGCCTCCTGGCCTGTATCGCGCATCCCGGCCATCATTCAAAACTCGTCTCGTACATGGTCGCTGCTTAGATCTTTTCAGGCTTTGGGAGGAGATGGTCAATCAAACCAGCCGCCTGTGCAAGAAGAGTTGTTGAGTCATATACTGTCGCCGAAGGCGAGGCTCTGGCAGAGTGACCAAGAAAGCGCGCATCTCCGGACAGCTCTCCTTTAGGGTTTAGGGTTTAGGGTTTAGGGTTTAGGGCTTAGGGCTTAGGGCTTAGGGTTTAGGGTTTAGGGTTGGATGTTGCTATTTGTTGCTCCGCAAGCTCCAGGAGTTCAGACTCTCGCTGACAAGGTCTCCACTTTAAACTGCTGGCTCGGGTCTCCACAAATGATGCTGTGCATCTACCATGCCATGTTGCCCCAAGGAACGCGCGGACTGCACCTCCGTTCTCTCGTGTGTCCCCCCTGCTCCCCTCCGCTCCTTGGCTCGTCACGACGCCGGCGCCTTCGCGACGCGCCGCCCCATGCGTTGCCATGCCGGCGTTCAGGGTTTGGGAGCCACGGTATGGGCTACGGTGTGTCAAGGCGGGAGGGGTATATTTTCTGCACCTCTCCCTCGGCTGTTGGGCGCTTCCAGGGCACTACGAGGTTGCCAAGCAGCTGCAAGAGATTGTCAGAGAGTTGTGAGTTACTTAAAGACTGCTACAGGGCAGCCGAGCTCCCCTGCTCTCCATGCCATCAGCGACCGCGCTAGCAGCTGCAGCACTGGGCTCTCCTCACCGGCGCGGTGAAGTCGCAAGGGTGCTGGGATGACCTTCCTCCTCTTAAGGAAGGCAGCCCTACGACCCTGCGCATTCGCCGGCAGTCACACGGCCCCTCGGCCTCGTACTTGCCAGGAAGCGCTATCTTGACAATTGCATACAATAGGGTTGGAAAACCTCAGGGACAGAACTGTGGCCTTTGCCACAGTCCTCACAAAGATGGCCTCAGCTTGAGAGCACGGAAGCTGTCATACTGCAGGGTGGAAAGCACAGGAAACCCCTAACCCTAAACCCTAAACCCCAAACCCCAAACCCTAAACCCTAAACCCTAAACCCTGACCTATGGCATCCGAGTGGCGCGAGGCGCTGTCTCACCTGTGAGCGGATGCGCTCCATCACCTTTCACGAGGAGGAGGGTCCCCAGAGAGTCCCTGAGCCTCCCCCCAAAAGCCCAGCTCTAAGGATCTCTAAGGTGGGCGCGGCGAACATAACAGCAGACTGGGTCATCCCGCGCATTATCTCCTGAAAAGGATGTCCAAAATCATGCCAGGTCCAATCTTGCCATACCCCGGTGAAAGTTGGGCGGTCCATGCTGAGGCCACGGTAGAGGGCGAGTGGGCCCTCGTTAAAGAAAACCTGGCGAGCGGACAGAAATGGGGTTTTACGATGTCAGGGGTACCTTCTTGGGGTCCTTATTACAAGGGAATCCTACTATTTGGGGTCCATAGTAGGGGTCCCTTATATTCGTAAACCCCCATGTGGGGCCCGACGTGGCATGTCGCCTTCTTCAGCGCTGCGGATGCGCTGGGCGCCAACTTCGCCTTCATCCCACAGAGACACGCGAAGACATGCAAGGAAAGTGAGCAGAGGAGTTTCAGAGTGTGAAGAGTGTGAGGTCAGGAAGTACTGCTTCAATCCATTTCAGCCACTTCAGGGAGCACGCGCCTGCGCGAGAGCCTTCCCGCGCACCTGCGCAAACGAGCGCGGTGTCCGCTGGCTCCACAACATGTCATGAGTAGAGACTAGGGCAGCGACGTAGGGATACACAAAGCACGTTGCAATGCCACGAGCAACTGGCATGGAGACACCAGGGGCGTGGGCATAGACATCATGAACCGCCCATGCTCCATACTTGGCCAGCATGACGAGCGCCAAGGCAGAAGGCCACCAGGGGGGAGAGGTCCTGTGGAGTCGTGGAAGCCCCTCTGCCCCCAGATCACGGCATTACAAGTTCGACAAAGTATGACAGTTTGCTTGGTTTGGGTGCCCCAAAAAAAGGGGGCTATCAAACGGGGCTATCCTGAAACCCTAAACCCTAAACCCTAAACCCTAGACCCCAAAAAAAGGGGGGCTATCCTTTAGCGGACTCACCACACGTCCTTGGCTGCCGTCCTTCGGGCCTCGAGCACGGAGTTGCTTCAGCAAGGTCCACAGGTAAAGGGGCTTGAGCAACACAGGTGGTTTAGGGTTTAGGGTTTAGGGTTTAGGATTTAGGGTTTAGGGTTTGGGGTTTCGGGTTTAGGGTTTAGGGTTTAGGGTTTGGGGTTTAGGGTTTAGGGCTAAGGGTTTAAGGTCACTGGGAGTGTTCCTGCTAAGGCTCAAACGTTCAGTATGATTCCTTTCAGCCAATCGAAGAGTGCGAACTCGATGCCAGGCTTCAGCGAAACCACAAAGTACCTCTAAATGCAATGGACAGATCGCAGAGTAGAACCCGAAGTGCACACTCACCACCCTGTTTCGAGAGATGATACCCTACACCGTCGCACGCGCTCCCCGACTTCATTGCTGCTCGAAGGCCTTCGCGTGTGAAGAGCGCCTGCCAAGCGAACAGGAGACTTTGGGAGCGGAACGGAGAGTTTCAGCGTGGTGTGGCAGAGAACGGCTGAGGTTCGAGAGTGCGAAAGATTGTCTCCGCGTACCCGGCGTGCTCTCTCTGCCTTTCGCACGATCTCGGACTTCGCCGTGTTGGGCGCAGCGGTCTGAAGCTGTACAACAAGAGCCTTGCACAATCCACATCGACAAGCTCAGACAAACAAATGTTTTCGAATGTATATTTTCTCTCTATATATCGCGGTATACATATATAGTATACAAACATATATACATGTAGAGCATTGTGCATTCTCTAACTATTTATTTGCTGAGTTACTCAGCATACCCGGCAAAGCCTCCATTGGCACACTGATTGGTACGCACAGCAGGTCGCCTTAGCAACTGTGTCGGTGCAGGGCACGCCCTAGGATGCGGCCGCGTGTTCACTGCAACAGCCAAGGCGCTGATATATCCGAGCAGGACCGTGGCCTCTGCAGGCTGTCGAATGTGGGAGCATCACAAGGCTGTAGCAAGTTGTACGTGGGTGGTTGTCAAAATGGGTCCCTTTTTGGATCCCTATTATAATACGGCACCTAGTATTTAGGGTACCCAAAAAGGGATCGTAATGTTGACAACCACCCACATGGCAGATGCTGCGGAGCACACCAACAAGCCAGGCTCTTGCCCTCGCAGCCTGAGCAGAACTACGTGCTGCGGCAGCACTTGGCTCTAGGCAGATAACATGATATTAATATTCATATAGTACATACATGTATATACCATTTCATTGTTGTGTCAGCTTACTTTGCGTTTTTTAGTATAGGATTGTTCTAGTATACTGCAATGCATTTTACCAGAGCTTCTGAACTTGGTCACACAGCTCAGCCAAAAGTGAGGCTGCCAACTTCAGCGGCCAACGGCCGAGCAAAGCAGGAGGCCTCCGAAGCATGGCTTTCATCGCCGTATAGTTCAGAACGTACAGGGCCTTCTGCTCCATGGCCTTTCGGCAAAGCATCGCGTGGGGGAGAGCTCTGGGCATGGCGGCTCTCTAGTGCGAGACGCTGCCTCAAGGGCCGAGAAAGGCAAGAGTCCCCGGTAAAGCCTGTTTGTCACGTGCGTTCAGCAACGGCTCCTTTAAACAAAAAAGCAAGTGTCAGGCTAGAATCTCTGGTCATGGTCAGGATATGCATACTTGAGGCCGGGGCCCAGCCACACCCTCCTGCAAAGCTAGGCATGACCGGCTTCGGGTCGGCTCAGGGCAGTTTGGGGCTGAGGGTGCGTGAGATGAGGTGGCTGGTCGTTCGAACGACTTCCTGGCAGATCCCGCTTCATGACGCCAACCGTTCACGGCTCAAGTCTGCATGGCCTCGGCAATGATGCGCTTGAAGAGCGCAAAGAACGAGACATCCTGAGTCGGTTAAAATTCGACGGCTGCAGCAGGGTCTACGTCAAGCAGAAAAATTATGCGGAAAAATGGGTTCGGTGACAAGGGGACCTCACTCCGCGAGTCTCATGCTCAGAGCTGCGCAGCTCTGGGAATGCTTGCTGCGGCGGCCTTTTTTGCTCTGTTCTCGCAGAGGCTTCTGCGGCGCAGCTCACCCTCTCAGCTCTGCTTTCGCAGCATGTACTTCGGCAGCTCACGATCCTGACACAGGCACAAGCCATCAAAGCACTGTTGCGGCTTTGCTAGTAGTAGTTCGGCACCGTGTGCAAGTGGTACCTCGAATTTATGGGGAATGAACGGGAAATTGTGTTCTCACCTCGAACTCAACTATCTCATGCACGTCAACCGCAATGCGCCGCAACTACTTGCGAGTCGGAAGAACAGAAGCCAAGCCATCGGCTTCAGCTCACACGCGCTCAGCTCCAGCAGCTCGCGAATTCGTGTGCGCTTGACCCTCGACCGCCCCCGATGCCTGGGCCACTTCGTCCGCCAGAAGGCCGCCGGGCATGGTCATCCTCCTGGTGCGTTTAGACACTACCAGGAGGTTGGGCTCCAACTACGGCTCCTGTGATTTTGGGTCTCTATGACTGTGTCATCATGTAATCCTCATCATTTGCTGCGGCCACGATTTATAGGGACGGCGGGTGGTGTGAACGTGCTTGCGTTCTCCCATGCAGGGCTTCGGGCTGCACAAGATGGACTGCCTGATGATGTCTGCACCCTCGCGAGCGAGCTCCTCACCACAAGTGGCAAACGGGAACTGCTTGGCAAAGAGGTCTGTTTGTGACTCTGCCCGCACTCTGCTCAAGCCGCGCAATCTGCTTAATCCACTCATGCGCGGTTCATGATTGGGGTTAGGGTTTAGTCTTTACGAGACTGCTATATGTATGTATGTATATATATATATATGTATATGTATATGTATATGTATATGTATATGTATATGTATATGTATATGTATATATGTATATGCACACATATATATCCGCCGACCCCAGCCGGGGGCGGCGTCAGTGAAGACCCACTGCGTGTTAGACCTTCCACCTCATCTATGACAGGCTTGCCGCTCCCACCCCCACCCCCCACCCCCACCCACCCCGCCATTCCCCATGGTCCCGTGGCCCCAGCCTTCTACCATAGGCCCTAAGCTGAGTTTTAAGGGCTCCAGTTCGCACTTGCTCCACTTCCCCCCCATGACCCTCTGGCCCCATGGCTTCATGGCCCCAGCGCCCCAAGGGCCCTACCCTCATGGTTCCATGGCACTTTAGGGGCTCCAGTGCGTGCCCGCTTCCTCCACTCCCCCCGACCGCTCCCCATGGCCCTCTGGCCCCATGGCTTCATGGCCCCAGCGGCCCAGGCCCACCCCCAGGTCCATGGCCCTCTGGCCCCACGGCTTCATGGCCCCCGCAGCCTGGCTCCAGCCTTCTATCAAAAACGCTTCCTCCACTGCGCCCGACCACTCTTTCATGCCCTCTGCGGCCCAGCCCTGACACGCGCATGGTCCAGGGCCCTACCCCCATGGTCCCATGGCTGGCCCCATGTCCCCAGCGCTTCAGGGCCCTACGCCCATGGTCCCATCCCTACCCCCATGGTCCCATCCTCAGCCTTCTTCCAGGCTCCAATGCATGTTCGGCACCCGCCCTCTCCGCCCTGGCTATGGCTTCATGGCCCCAACAGCCCAGGCCTGTCCCATGGCCCCAGCCCCCAGCGGCCCAGGGCCTACCCCCAGGCATGGCCCCAGCCTTCACCAGCCTTCACCATACCCCGTATTCTCATGACCCAGCCTTCTGCTAGTTGCTCCACCCGGCCCCACTCCACCTCCTCACGGACAAGGCAATGATTTAAAGGGTTCCAGGCCAATTCTTAAGGGCTCCAGTGCATGCCCGCGCCCCCTCCGTTTTCCCCCGCCCGCTCCGCCCCCCCCCCCCCCCACCCCCACCCCCCCCACCCCCCCCCCCCCCACCCCCCCCCCCCCCCCCCCCGGCCCACCCCCCCCCCCCCACCCCCCCCCACCCCCCCCCCAACCCCCCACCCCCCCCCACCCCCCCCAACCCTACCCCGTCCCATGGCCTCAGCCTTCCACCATACCCCGTATTCCCATGATGCAGCCTTCTGCCAGTTGCTCCACCCGCCCCCACCCCACCCCCTCACGGACAAGGCAATGATTTAAAGGGTTCCAGTACACGCCCGCCCTCCCTGTGCCCCATGCCCTTGATGCTAATTCTTAAGGGGTGCAGTGCATGCATGCCCGCGCCCCCTCCGTTTTCCCCCGCCCACTCCGCCCCCCCCCCCCCCACCCACCCCCCCAACCCCCACCCCCACCCCCCCACCACCCCCCCCCCCCCCCCCCCCGGCCACCCCCCACCCCCCCCCATCTTTCCAGGCTCCAATGCATGTTCGGCACCCGCCCTCTCCGCCCTGGCTATGGCTTCATGGCCCCAACAGCCCATGGGACAGGCCCCAGCGGCCCAGGGCCTACCCAGGTCCGGCCCCAGCCTTCACCAGCCTTCACCATACCCCGTCTTCCCATGACCCAGCCTTCTGCCAGTTGCTCCACCCGCCCCAACCCCAACCCCTCACGGACAAGGCTATGCTTGAAAGGGTTCCAGCACATTGATGCTAATTCTTCCGCGCCCCCTCCGTTTTCCACCCCCACCCCCCCCCACCACCCCCCCCCCCCCCCCCACCCCACCCCCCCCCCCCCACCCCACCCCCACCCCCCCACCCCCACCCCCCACACCCCCACCCCCCCCACCCCCCCCACCCCCCCCCCCACCCCACCCACCCCCCACCCCGCCCCAGGCCCTAAGCTGAGTTTTTCAGGGCTCTGGTTCAGCCTTCGGCCCCAGCGGCCCAGGGCCTACCCCCAGGTCCAGCCCCGGCCTTCACCATACCCAAGCTGAGTTTTAGGGCTCACCCCCATTCTAACATGGCCCGCCTTCTGCCATAGACCCTAAGTTGCTCCACCCCGCCCGCCCCAGCGCCCCTTCAGGGCCCTACCCCCATGGTCCCATGGCCCAGCCTTCTACCATAGGCCCTAAGCTGAGTTTAAAGGGGTCCAGTGCATGCTCCAAGGGCATGCCCGCTTCCTCCACTCCCCCCGCCCTCTCCGCCCACTCCCACTGCTCCCCATGGCCCTCTGGCCCCAGCGGCCCTAGGCCCTAAGCTGAGTTTTAAGGGCTCCAGCGCATTCCCGCTTCCTCCACTCCCCCGCCCCATGGCTACTCCCATGGTCTTCTGCCATAGGCCCTAAGTTGTTCATGGCCCCAGCGCCCCAGGGCCCTACCCCCAGGGTCCCATGGCCCCAGCCTTCTACCATAGGCCCTAAGCTGAATTTTCAGGGCTCCAGTGCATGCCCGCTTCCTCCACTCCCCCCGCCCTCTCCGCCCTCTCCGACCCCATGGCTTCATGGCCTCAGCGGCCCAGGGCCCTACCCCCATGGTCCCATTGAACTGAGTTTTAAGGGCTCCAGTGCATGCCAGCTTCCTCCACTCCCCCCGACCGCTCCGCATGGCCCTCTGCCCCATGGCTTCATGGCCCCAGCGGCCCAGGGCCTTCCCCTATGGTGCCAAGGGCTCCAGTGCATGCCCGCTTCCTCCACTCCCCCCGCCCTCTCCGCCCACTCCGACCGCTCCCCATCATGGCCCTGGCCCCATGCTTCATGGTTTCAGCGGCCCTAGGTAAGCTGAGTTTTAAGCCGGGACCGCTCCCCCCCGCAATCCCCCGCCCCACCCGCCCATATGCCCCCCCCTCCACCTGCCTTCCGCCCCCCCACCCACACACCCCCCACCCCCCCCACCCCACCCCCCCACCCCCCACCCCCCCTCCTGTCGGGGTTGAGCCGGACAGAGCGTGCTTCAATTCTTAGGATGGGGTCGGCGGCATTGGCGGTAGCCATTAAATATATATATATATATATATATATATATGTCTGTATTTTATATATGTATATATATATATATGACCTCAGTGGTGCATGTGGTGGGCCTTCGCCTCACGCTCCGCGGCAGCTTCGGCGACCAGCTGAGACTCCTCGCCTTCCTAGCCAAAGCTGCTGCAAGGTCATCCCGTCATCAGAATTTGCTTCGAGGACCCAGGTACCTACCCGACAGGACCCCACTAGTAAAGACGGTGCTGGAAATGCCCCGAAGGGCCCCAATTCGGACCCCAACGCCCCCCCCCCCCCCGAAGCCTGAGCAACCCTCTAAACCCTAAACCCTAAACCCTAAACCCTAAACCCTGAACCCCTCTTGCCGAGCCTTGGCCCAGCGCTTGAAGGCATCCTTGGAACAGGCCCGGCTCTTTGGGTCGGCAGAGCAGCTTCGGGGTCCATCTGAAAAGCCGTGCGGCTTACGGTTTCTTAGCAGGGAAGTTAGGGTTTAGGGTTTAGGGTTTAGGGTTTAGGGTTTAGGGTTTAGGGTTTAGGGTTTAGGGTTTAGGGTTTAGGGTTTCGGGATTAGGGTTTAGGGTTCAGGGTTAGGGACTCAATTGGGTCCTCCGGCAATTCCTTAAAGAGGCACCGTGACTATGAGCTAGGTATTGAGGGCTCTTTGGGTAGAGCCAGTAAGTAAAGTCCAAGGGGCCATGGCTTCCTTCTTCTCCTCCTCCTTGGCCGCCTTTTAAGCATTGAGGGTTCAGGGTTCAGGGTTTAGGGTTCAGGGTTTAGGGTTCAGGGTTCAGGGTTTAGGGTTCAGGGTTCAGGGTTCAGGGTTCAGGGTTCAGGGTTCAGGGTTCAGGGTTCAGGGTTCAGGGTTCAGGGTTCAGGGTTCAGGGTTTAGGGTTTAGGGTTTAGGGTTCAGGGTTTAGGGTTTAGGGTTTAGGAGCTACCGAATTCGCCACGGGATCCACTTCCTCTGATAGCCCTATCGGCCTCCTTGGCCTCGGACGCGGCCTCCTTGGCGGCAGCTTCCTTCTCCTTGGCCGCCTCCTTCTCCTCGGCGGAGGGAGAGATGAAGAGAAGGAGGGGCTTTAGGGTTACAGGGTTTTAGGGGCTCTAGGGTTTTTAGGGGTTGAGGGTTATAGTATCGGGGTTATAGGGGTTCTAGGTTTTTAGGGGTTTAGGGTTAGAGTATCGGGGCTATAGGGGTTTAGGGTTGCAGGGGTAGCGAGCTACCCATGTTCCCCTTGACCCTCGCGCTGCAGAGGGCAGGTCTTGACTGGCTTGGTGGTGCAGGGACCTCGACTCACTGAGCCATCTGAGCCGAGCATCCAAAGCATCGTTGGCAGTCCACTTCGCGAACATGTCTTCCTTGTCCACCTTTCACAGCTTCTGGGTTTAGGGTTTAGGGTTTAGGGTTTTGGGTTTTGGGTTTTGGGTTTTGGGTTTTGGGTTTGGGTAACTAGCAGGGTGAACTAGCAAAGCTAGCAAACGGACCCTTGCTGCGAAGACCCACCATGCGACGTGCCATGCGTGCCATGCCTCCTCCTTCTTTCCTTCCTCCTTCTTCTGCTTCTCCTCAGGTTTCTTGTCCTCCTTCTTCTCCTCCTTCTTCTCCTCCTTCTGCTCCTCCTTCTCCTCCTTCTTCTCCTCCCTCTTGTCGGCTTCAGCCGGCCTTGGCGAGCTCTGCATGAAACCTACCTGTCCGACGGCAGCTCATCTACTGGTAGCGTAATCTGATGGGTCAAGCGGCTCCTTCTTCGCTTCGGCCTCCTGCCATAAAAGCATTATCCATTTTTCATGGTGCGGAACATGAAAGCAAAGCTGCACTTGTGGAGATTGTTGACTTCCAGCACACGCTCGGCACTTGCGGCTTCGGTGGCGTCGAAGTTTCAAGTCACGCTCTGCCTCCGGCTTCTTCTCAGGCTCCTTCGGTTCGGGCTTGGCCTTGCGCGCAGAGACGAGAGACCCCCGAAGGCACTGTCACTGGCATTCATGTCATGGCCCACGACATGTTAGGCACAAGACGATTCTGACTACCACTATGACTCATGTTGACATTCTTTTTTCGGTCCTACTGATAGCAACTGTTTACGGCCGTTATGACATTTATGATGAAAAAGGCATGCATAATATAATATAGAGTATGACATCACTTTTTAACCGTTCCATGACAAACATGTGCCATTTATCACACGCATATAATATATGCGAACGATTGTATAAAATGTACTATACATTGAGTGATATAACATTACGAACATGAGTATAGCACAACATAAGACATGTAACATCAAATACATAACATAACATAATCTATATATATATACACACGTATACAATATTTAGCGTATAACATTGAATAGAATACAGAAAAATGTCTCATGGTATGATATAGTTCCGTATGTATGCAACAAATATGCAGCACCTAGTATATCGCATAGAGTTAATATAAAACATTTGATGTTCAATATTTAACGTTTCATGTTAAATACTGAATAGTTCATACAGAATACCAATTCGCAGCATGTAAATATTAGTATTTGGCTAGTTCTCTAAATTTGGGGCCCTTTTTGCCAAAGAAACCCTAACCCCCAATCCCTAAACCCTAAACCCTAAACCCTCAACCCTCAACCCCAAACCCTAAACCCTAAACCCTAAACCCCACCCCATCTGAAAGTTCATGTAGATGTAGGAGAAGCACGCCCCCCCCGTCCCCCCCACCCCCCCCCCCCCCCCGCACCTCTTCGGTCTCCTTCGAGCCACCCTTCTTGGCCAGTCGCTCGGCCTTCTCCTTCCGGGCAAAGGGAGCAACAAGGGTTTAGGGTTTAGGGCTTAGGGTTTGGTGCTTAGGGTTCAGGGTTTAGGGTTTAGGGTTTCGGGTTTAGGGTTTATAGGGTTCAGGGTTTAGGGTGCCATGACTATCATGACTCTCGTGAGGTTTTTGATGCCCCAGACTTCAAAGACGCAAGAACTTCAGTCCCAAGCCCCCAAACTGTCAAACTCCAATCAGCAGATCGCGCGCGCGGGCGCGCAGCCTGTGCCGCCTCCTCGGCCAGCTTGGAAGCCTTGCGGCGCTTTCTCTCTCTCTTTTCCGGGGCTTCAGGGTTTCGGGTTTAGGGCTTAGGGTTTAGGGTTTAGGGTTCTTCATCTGGGATGAATCGGGATGAACGTTTTCTCATCAAGAGCTCGGAGGTTGAAAGGATCTGAGAGCCCAGGTTGCTTGTCCTATTCGACCCCAAGGCCGCCGGGCCTTCTTCTTGGCCTCCTTGCGTGCCACCTGCTCCGCAGCCTCCTTGGCAGCGGCCACGGCGCGGGCCTGAGGTCTCACAGGGGCGAAAAAGGAGTCCTAGCTGCCAACGACAAGAATGATACTAACAGCTTTCATAATGACAATTATGGAAACAAATATCAGCCACAAGAAGAAGAACAAGAACAGCAGTGGTGATAGGGGAACTGCAACAGGAACTACAACGACAAGGACGACCACAGCCACAAGCACAACTGGAGCAGGGAACTGCCATTCTGTTATGTCGTATTATACTCTATTCTGTTATGTTAGATTGTTTTATATTATGTTATAGCACAGTATGGTAAATTAAATGATTATTATGCTATGTACTATAACTTGCCCTCAGAAGGGACTTGGGCAGGGCCTTGGCCGTCTGCTCGGCCACCTCCTCGGCATGGTCCTTTGGGGAGCTTGTGGGGCACTTTGGGTGTTTTTGGGCCCTTGAAGCCTTGGAGGCAGAGAGGGAGGGCAGCATCAAGAGGCGGCTGCGGAACCGAGTGCTCTTTCTTTTCACTGCGTCTGTGTGGGAATCACGAGATCGGCAAAAGCGCTGTATCTTCGATACGCTGCCCGAGACATGGATTGGAAACTTGGTGCCCCGACCGTTGTATGTTACACAAATTCGAGCTCACTTGGTATTACTCCACATCCGTCCTATTCGTAGAAGCCGCCGATGCTGGGCCAGTGCTTTGGCTTGGCAAACTGCTGGGCCCCGGTAGCCCCGGTTGTCCAGGTCTCACGGTACTTCCCCAAGTGGAAGGGGGTCCAGCGGATGGAGCCCTCGCGCACCCGGATGCCACCTCCATCCTCGGGGATGTGAGGCGTCCGGAACTTGGCCTGCTGCTCTGAGGGGTGGCAAAACTCGACCTCTGCGTTGGACTTGTAGAACTCGTGGCCGGGCTGGCTCACATGGATCCAGTGGTCGCTCGCGGTCCTGCTCAGGGACTTCCGCATGTGGTCCTTCTTCCAGTCTCCGTACGCCTGCGTGGTCAGGTTGGAGAACGTGTGGGTTCCAGGCCCCGGGAGCTGGTGCGCCTTCATGACTCTCGTGCGCTGCATGGAGGGCTCCATCTGCTTCTCCGTCCAGTTGTCTGCTCCAAGGCATGGGAAGGAATAGATTGAGACCGGGTGGTTGTTCTTCCGGCAAGAATTCTTCGCCATCTCTCCTTGGGAGAGCACGAACAATGGCCGGAAGTGTCTGGATGCTAAAGTGGTCCAGAACTTGAGCGGCAACGGCGCGCAGGCACTCAGGCGATGCAAGAACATTCATCTGCAGCACACCAAGAGGCTCCGAAAAAGTGGTTCCGATCCTGTGCTTGAAAGATCAAAGCTTAACAAGGACCTTCAATCAGGCCCAAAAAAGCGCAGATGCACACAACTTCCCCCAAGGTGGCATCTCCTTGACGCCAGCAGCGGCCTTGGAAACGGCCGCGGCCTTCGCTTCCTCGCTCGCGGCGTCCTTGGCCGCCTCGAAGGCCTTTGCTGTGGGCCGCGGATTGGGATTTTCAAAGGGGCCTTGGGATTCTAGCTTGAGGTTTAGTTTCGGGGAGTTTACTTTGCACCTTTTTGGCAAGTGCGACATTTTTGGTTGCCAATCCGGCGACGCATCTGTCGATGGCTCGAGAGCCCAAACCCCCCCCACTCCCGACCCAGGGGGCCTCCTTGGAAGCCTCCGTCAAGGCATCCCTCTTTGCATCAGCCATGGCCGAAGCCTGCACGGATTCAGAAAAAGAGGGTTTAGGGTTTAGGGTTTCGGGTTTAGGGTTTAGGGTTTAGGGTTTAGGGTTTAGGGTTTAGGGACAGCCCGGCGTTGCATCTCGCAGCACCCGGCGGCCTTGGCATTGCGCAGTGCGAAGTTGGCCGCCTGGCGGAAGGCCTTCTCGAGGGCCTCCACCAACAACAACCGAGAGTGGTTCTATTTGGGGATATTTAATGTCTAAAAAACCTAAAAGGGCTTTTTAACGTTGAAAACCGTAAATGGGCCGCAGTCCGTGTGCAGCCGAGAGGCATAAGCGGCGGTGGCAGCGGCCGCCTGCTAAGGGTTTGCCCCCGCCGGGAAAGAGCTTTCACGCGCGGTTTCTTGCGACAGGTCGTTTGGCTGTTGTCAAGCATGCGATTGCTTCCACTGGCATCTTGTGCCATCCTGGCGAGGACCAATCTTATCCGATTACAAAACGTCCCAGCGACGCCGCACCATCTGAATGCCCATTGCGAGGAGCAGAGCAGAAGGGGGCGCAATCCGAAACCCAGCAAACCTTAGGCCCCTACCCTGCAGGGCCCTGGACCTGCCCACCCATGACAAACCTTCACGCTATAGTTGCTCGATGGCATGTAATTGTGCATATTGATTTACACCCATACCTGTACATACCTCTGTGTATATATGTAGTACATTTTTCACACACGCATACACTAACATTTTTTGTATGCTTACATACTGCACCACATTCTACTATACCATACTAGGCTACCATACTATACAATACTATAGCATACTGTACCATACTCAACCATTATGTACTACAAACTTATACACATATAAATAAATATAAATATATACATATATATATGTATATAAAAGTCGTGACTAAACCCCAACTGGCCTGCGCGTCCGGTGTCCTCAAGGGGCCTTCCGGGCTGGCACAGGCAGTGCCGTAGGCCAGTCCCTGGGCATAGCCCTCTGCTGTGCGGGTCTTTGTGCTGGTCCTGCCAGGGTCAGCATGTCGAAAGGGGGGTGGGAGGGGTTTAGGGTTCAAGGGCTTCAACGCAATGCAACCCCAGCCACAAGCCAGAAGCACCCCTCCTGATGGCCGACTGCGTGTAGGGCACATTGATGTCCGCAGTTGCCTCGCCCGTCACCACGGCACTTGCGGACGCAGTTCGTGTAGCGGTGGCCTGCTCTGCAAGCTCTGCATAGCTCTGTGAGATACTGGTGCACAAGATGCTTGTAGTGAAAGCTCCATTCGCACACGCGAGCTCCTGGCCTGCTGGGTGCGGTTGCCTTACAGCTGAGGTCTCTGAAAAGCCTTTAGAGATCTGAACCTGTACCCACCCCTGTGAAGCAGTTCTAATCGCTGCAAGTCTATCATGGCCAACAGGTCATCAAGAAGCGCGCCTAGTCCGCAAACCGCGGGGCAATTGGCATGTCGCTCAAACACTGGCAGTGGCGGGGCGAATACATGTTTCACGACCTAAACCCTAAACCCTAAACCCTACCCTAAACCCTAAACCCTGAACCCTAAACCCTGCCCCCTCATTCCGGCACAGCGGCTGTCTAGGATCTTTGCAGAAGCAGTCTCAGTGGCCTCAGCATGTCGGGTCTTGCTGTCGCTTCACGTCGCACAACTTGGCTTGAGCTGCAGGGTTCCCTAAACCCTGGACCCCAAATTGCTGCTAGCTAGTCTTTTTCAATTAATCCGAGCATCAGTTTAATTACTACCACCACATTTCAAGAATTTTTTTAGAAGCCCGCCGGAAGACTACTTTCCATTGCGGTGGTTTTCGTATGGGCCAATACCACCACCACATTTGAAGAAAATGTTTTCGGGGGGGGGGGGGGGGGGTTCAAAAACCTGTCGGCAGGCTTCGTGTTTTGCTTGCTGAGCTGCGAAGCTACAGCACCTCAGGGATCTGCAGCCTATTGTTTCTGATCGAGAATCAATACATTGCCATGGTCTTATTATTGTGGAACCCTGCCTTTCTTATTGCCTATTACACGGGGCTACTATTTTGGGGGGTCTATTTTAGGGGTCCCCCGATTTGCGAAACCCCCCTTCTATTGGATTTATCATTCATGTCTGGGCCTCCTCCTCGACGCTCTTTTGCGCAACCGTGGCAGTCTCCTGTACGAGACGGGTGGTTGGGGGTTTAGGGTTCAGGGTTTAGAGTTCAGGGTTTAGGGTTTAGGGTTTAGGGTTTAGGGTTTGAATGAAAGCCTGCCCAAAGAGCCCTTGCGAAACTCTCAATCCCAAAAGTGAGCCTTAAAGTTCAGCCTCTTGAACCTTTGACTCAGCCCCGAAAGACTGCATTGATCATTCAACAAACTTGAGTCGATTTAGCACGCATGTAAACAAGCCTGACGTCAGCTTGAACGACCATGCTTCCAACAAGTCGGTTTTGACAGGGCAGAGAAAAACAAGCAGCTGGGCGGCTGCAAACATGTCCATTCCCAGCATGTTTGGAGGTATGTTTGTTTGTATCTGCTGCGGGGGTGTCTGCAGCTACTTCTGGTTGGGTCATATGAAGCCATACCCAAGCTCAAACATCGTGCACAGTGTGCATCCAAGGCATCGCACGTGAGTTTTGCAACGTCGGGCGCGTTTTGGCCGAATTCAGGCAGCCACCCCTTGAATATGTGGTCAAAGGTGTTTTGGGCTGCGCGGAATTGACACAAAAACTCCCAAATGGGAGGCACATGTCATCGGCGAGAGCGAAATTCGACGTGTTTGGTTTGCAGTCATAAGGCGTATAGGGTTATGTAAAACGATGAACCATAGCAAACCCAAAACATTCCCAAACTTCAACAACCAAAGTCTTCGAGTTGCGCCTTGGCAGTAGCATGGGCGTTCTTCGTGCTGATGGCCTTCACGGTGACGTTCTTGGTCACCGACATCCTGAAGCGTCTCCAAATGCGTGAGCCCTGCAACTTGCAGCCTTATGTCCAACAGTGAGTGCCTCAAGAGCGCCCGCCTCTACAAAGAAACACCCGAATCCCTCCCAATGTCCCTCAAGAGCCAATTCGTGAATGGGGATGAAGTCAGTAGTAACGTAGTACTAGTCTGCATACTGAAACTTATTGCCCATGGCTGTTGCGGGATTCTCCGCTGGGCTCGCTAAAATTCCCTGGAAGTCGCACTCCAAGGCATACTCTGCGGAACCCTCTGCGGGATTCTCGGGTCCATGAGAATGCTTTTGTGGGATTGTCCATACGTCATTCTCTATAAGAAGGCACTCCGGGCATGCTCTGCAGAAGCAGCAGGAGGCGTTGTTGTTGTAATGATAGAAACAACAATGCCGATAACACTTGTTGTGGTAGTATTTCTATCATTACAGCAACAGAGAGACGTTGCTGGGCGCCCTGCGTGGCTTTGGCCTGTGGCACGGTGACCTTCACAGTCACACACGCCTGGCCGGAGACGGCGAAGACGCGCTGGCACATCTGGCGGCCTTTGAGTTTGAAGGGGAACGCGGTGGACATCCCGAAAGACAAGCGCACGCCCAAGTCCATGGAATCTCAAAAACATTGCTTCAGGCAGGTTTTCACAATGCGAGTGGCATGATGCATGCAAGGACATGTATTGAGCAGAGTCACCCAGCTGGCAACGGTCATTCGCATCGCAGTCCAGGCAGGTGGCCTGAAGATGGTAACGAAGCATGATCTGCTACGAGGGCTTGAGGCCTTTGAACTGTCAGGCCTTCTTCAGCACGGAACGGTCCACCTTGCCATTATACTCTGGAGGAAGCTTGCACGTCAAGCCATCCTGCATCGTTGGGACGAACATTCAATGCTGACACTTCCCTAAACCCTATTTTTGAGTTTTGTTGTTATTGCTATGTGCTCTTAGTTTCTTGCTTTTCTTATCGTTCAAATCAATGTTGCTAATTGTATTATGGTTATTGCTATGCTCATGTGATAAGTCTTTGTTGTTGCTAAATACTCTGCTATTCTCCATTACTATTTCTACGACTATTCGTGGTCTAATTGTTGTTATTGTGACTATCTTTAATTATTGTTGTTATACCTGCTTGTACTGTTCCTATCATCATTGCCATGCTCCTCATCACATGATTCTCATTATCGCCCGATCCTGGCACGCCAGTGCCCAGTCGTCCGGCGCAAAGCCACCGCAGGTGACGCCTTTCGTCAGCTGAGGCGCACCTAAGCTCTACGACAAGAAGACGAGGTACGAGAAGCAGAAGAATACTTCAAAACAATAATACAAAAAAAAAAACACAAACCAATAGTAAGAGAGGGAACCAGCAAAGTGAAGCAAAGAGGCATTTCAGCGACACGCTGTCCCAGAACATGCCGAAGCCGCAAATGCACTCATCAAGCGCCTCGCAGGCAGTTCGGCGACAGTGCAGAATCATTTACGTTATGGATCACTTGGGATGTTCCCCTTATACTAACAGTCCTGAATAGGGATTGTAATAGGGGGTGCTTCGCTATTCAGGACTGTCAGTATAAGGGGGAACATCCCCAATGGATCACCATGAGTCAATGAGGTGCAAAGGGACAGACTCTTTGGCCTGCACTATCACGCCAGACTTGTTCACCAGCTCCACGTGCGGGCGCGAGAGCCCGTCTGCCTTGTCGCCAAATGGGGCAATGGCTTCCTGAGATAGGAGCCATTGAGGGGGCGGTGCTTCAAGTATCTGCGTTGTGCAAGCAACTGCGACTGAGCAAAATGTATACAACCTGAGCCTGTTGCAGAGGTCTTTCGGGAGTTCTGTCAGCACATCTGAAATTACTCTCCCAGTGTCCACATCTCGTAGCTTGTCGGGCTCATCTGCACGGCGGACCAGAACAGCGTCGGCCCTCAGGGCCAGGAATGCCTGGGAAAGGGTGAGAAGATCTCAGCTGCACTCAGCTGCACTCAGCTGCGCTTGCGATTGTGACAAGCCGCAAAGCTCAAGGCCCACAAGCCCGTCATGGCCGCTCCCTGCATTAAGGACCTCAGCACACCGACAGAGTGCGTAGCGTGATGTGCTACCATGGGTTCAAGAGGCAGCCCAATTGCATGCATCCTAAAGGCGCATCTACATGCGCAAAGGCATTCCAACGCGGATACACCACTGGACGCAAGCCCAACACCCGTCTCACCAGCGTGTGCAGAGAAGCCCGAGACTCTCAGAGCAAAGTCTGACTGCTCAGGAAGCGGCAGAATTCAAGAAGCTCAGCGCTCGTCTGAGCCACTCAAATGGCTGCAGTGGGCCACCACTTCGTATGCGGGTGCCACAGTGGGCTTCTGAGCTGGTGTTCCGTTACGTCCTTTCTCACACTTAACCTAAATATGCTGCATCATCCTGGGGGAGAGTGCCACAAGATGGCCTGACATTCACCGGGGTCCCAGCGCTAGAAGTGGCCAACTTTACCTGACGTAGCTGGGATCTCTTGTTGTGCAGGGATGCTGCGATTGTTTGCAGACCCTTCTCCGGTTCGCCTTGCGTGGAGGGGTTTAGGGTTTTAGGGTTTAGGGTTTAGGGTTTAGGGTTTAGGGTTTAGGGTTTAGGGTTTAGGATTTTGGGTTTGGGGTTTGGGGTTTGGGGTTTAGGGTTTAGGGTTTAGGGTTTAGGGCCAGTTTAGGGAGTCTGGTAGCATAGTAGCAGTTGCCACACAAAACAATTTCAAATGTTCGCAACCCCCCCCCCCACATGGTCGGCTCTCAAATGCTGCTCCTTGTTGGGTACCAAAAAATTCGGGGCCGCCTTGTAATCGTGACCGCAAAAGGGACCGTGTAGCTCATCCCCAGCACTACTTGAATCTCGGGTTCCCAAAATTAGGTGTGCCTTCTTGGGGTCTTTATTATACGGGAATCCTACTATTTGGGGACCTGTCTTGGGAATCCCCACTATTTTCGTAAATCCCCAACTGGAAAGCGTACAGGACAGGCTGAAAAGCCGCTCCAAACCTGGCCTTGAGCGTGTCGAAGGGGAAGGACGCACACCGGCCCACTATCCTTGAGCGGCCAAGCCCTGAAAGCCCAAAACTGCCCCTAAAGACCCTGAGAACAGCACTACTCCTCCTAAGCTCTAAACCCTGTCTCTGTGAGGGGAGCAAAGATGGGAATCTCTCATCTCGCAGAAACGCTAGAACAGAGTCAGAGCAGAGAAACGCAGTCTGGTTCCGGAGGACAACCTCAAATCCTAAACTCCGATCGCATCGAATCCGAAACCAACCCCTTCAAGAGTCGAAGCAAGTTGTTGCTCCTGATCGTGCCAATGGCCAAAGGCGTTCTTATATCGCCCTATCAAGTAGTATAAAGTAGATCATCCCTATCAGTACAAACAATTATATAATCCCGAGCGGGGGGACATCCTAAGGCCTGGAGAGGAAGGTTGATCGGTACCACAGCCCTGAACCCTAATGGTTATCTTCCCATGATCGCATGTTATGATATATTGGGGAATTCGAGAGGGCGTTAGCGCTAGCCAAACCGAGTTAAACCCTGAAAATAACCCTAAAAACCCTCTAACACTCCCAACTCAAACCCCAACACATCCCGAAACAAACCCTTACTAACCCCTTTAAAGCCCCCAACTCAAATCCCTCGAGCGCAGCCTCTTTTCCCTCGGACCGCCTCTGTCCGCTGCCGAGAGGCCCGCCCAGTCCGCCGGTGACGCCTTCGGCGAGAAGCTCATGGCCGCGCATGGCGACGCTGCTTCGGAGCTGCGGAGGGGCTGTAGGGGTTCAAAAGCGTGCGCCTTACTGGGGGAGAGTGGGGGGGGGGTTCCGAAAATGGGACCCTGAACCCTAAACTCTACACCCTTTACCATGCTTGGTGGCTCTTCTAAGAAGGCTACTTATTGTACTTTGTAGGGTAGGGGGGAGGACCCTGCCAGCGTTCAAAGCTCGAGGTACTACAGCACTTGGAGCGTCAGGGTCTGCCATTTAGGGTTTGGTGATGAGGGCTGAAGTATGCTGAATTTTCGGTGTCCGATTGAAAAGCAGCCGCGCATGGATGTCGAGCCACGACATCACGTGATGAAGCAGTGGCCCCTGTGCCCCCACGCGCCATGGAAAGCCCTGAACCCTAAACCCTAAACCCTAAACCCTAAACCCTAAACCCTAAACCAGGTCAAGGACTTGGTCGGTTTCGTTTTCAGATCAGCCGAATCAGCGTCGTCCACCTGAGGTGAGATTCTCGAGGGTCCAGGGAATGCCTCGAGGCCTGATGGTGTTGGAGCTTCTGGCTTGCATATTGCATACGGTTCTTGCTGTTTCACCAAGGCATGATTTCATCCTACATCATTTTTCAACTATAGAAGGGGTCGACTAAAACTCACTGTCATTGACATTGTCGACAGAGATAAGCTAAACAAGCGGCAAGGCATTTTGTAAGAAGACCAGAAACTATATAAGTACTTTTTGAAGATTCACTTCTCTACGGCACAGGCTCCGGACTCCAACACCTTCGGCTTGAAAGCAGCCCCCCAAGAAGGAAGTCGAAAACGACACTTTGCTTGTGAGCCCTATAACCCCAGGTCTCCCTTCACCTGTAGCTCACAAGAGCTCGGGCCGCAACCACAGGGCGGAGACAAAACCACATGTGACGCTTCTTCCGGAATACGAGAGGAAGAACCGATGTGGAAGTTCTCGACCCATGATAGCGGGTCGAAAAAAGTACACGAGTAGTCGACATAAAGCTGTGGATGGCAGTCTGTTGTGGCATTGGAAGACGCACAAAACTCCAGAGAGCCGAGGCCAGCACAGTGTTTTGACGTAGCTGGGACGGCTCAAGCTTCACTGACAGCAGGAAGGCAAGGCGAACTCAGGGCCAAGCGGTGCTCTCAACGTCAACTGGATGAGCCTTGAAGCACCTTTGCCAAGTGAGGGTAAGGTGGGGCGCTCCTCATGCTTTGCTCAATGCAGTGCTCATGCTCTGCTCATGGCGACCCATGATTCTGGGAACATGCGAATAAGATCTCTGCACTCGGGGTTTTCTCGACGGCGCGGCAACTTTCAAATCGCTGGTCACGAATAGGATTCTGTCTTAACAGCGGAAGCAGCCGTGTTAGCTGCGGAGGCCGCAAAAGGTTCGGCGGTTGTTGCTTTTGTGTGATTTGGCCTGTTTGCCAAATGGTGCGGGTGCTGCGCCCTGCAGGGGGGGTGCGGGCACAACAACGTTCATCCAACTCCGGACCTGGTCATGGACTGGATCCAACCCAGTCCATGTCAACACGGAGCTGCATGCCCACAGCACACAATGCCAGCAACTGTAACTGACGATGAAGCTCTGTAGTTGCAAGCCCGTCTGCACGACAGGCCGTGGCCATCACGGCCGTCATTGAAGCGAGTTGTTGCCAGCTGCATCCATTGCCGTGCCATCGACCAAGTAGCCGATGTCGGCAGCATAAGCTGACGGTGGCAGCGGCGAGCCTGAGATGTGTACATCGGGCTGGATTGCCTCAGGATGGTTCACGGCATTTCCAGCCAGGTTCAACGCTGTGCCATCTGGCAAGTAGCCAACATCATTAACGAAATGTGCACGAGGCAATGGAGATCCTGGCGCATGAGGATCTGGCGGAGCTCGTTCTGGATGATTCACCGCATTGCCAGCCCTGTTCATTGCTGTGCCATCCGGCAAGTAGCCCACGTCATTGCAGAAAAGGAAGTCTGCATAGGCGTTCCGCGGGAACGAGAACTCAAAGCCTCCACTGTGTCGCACGTCCGATGCTTGGGGGGCGACAGAGCCCACGAGAGCAGCTGCAGACGCCGACGAAGATAGACTTGTGGCGTCTACTCCCTTCAAGGAGTTGTTGCCAGCAGCATCGAGCGGAGTGCCATCCACCAAGTAGCCCACGTCGGCAGCGTACTTCGAAGCTGGCAGCGGAGAGCCCGCAGTGTGGAGGTCGGGCTGCATTCTCTCCGGATGGTTGATCGCGTTGCCGGCCGCGTTCAAGGCTGTGCCATCGGGAAGGTAGCCGACGGAGTTTGTGAACAATGCCCGCGGCAAGGGTGACCCAGGTGTGTGCGGGTCCGGCTGAATGCGTTCAGGATGGTTCATGGCATTACCGGCCTTGTTCAAGGGCGTGCCATCGGGGAGGTAGCCCACGTCGTTGCTGAACTCGTAGTCGGCATAGGCGTCCTTCTGGAAGCTGTACTCGAACTTGATGCCATGATGAGCCTCCCCTGCGACAGCAGCTTGTGGCACGCTTGGCGCGGGGGTTGGAGCTGCAACGGCAGTTGCAGTTGGGACAGCGCCTGGCGACGTGACCTTCAAGGAGTTGTTGCCAGCAGCATCGAGCGGAGTGCCATCCACCAAGTAGCCCACGTCGGCAGCGTACTTCGAAGCTGGCAGCGGAGAGCCCGCAGTGTGGAGGTCGGGCTGCATTCTCTCCGGATGGTTGATCGCGTTGCCGGCCGCGTTCAAGGCTGTGCCATCGGGAAGGTAGCCGACGGAGTTTGTGAACAATGCCCGCGGCAAGGGTGACCCAGGTGTGTGCGGGTCCGGCTGAATGCGCTCAGGATGGTTCATGGCATTACCGGCCTTGTTCAAGGGCGTGCCATCGGGGAGGTAGCCCACGTCGTTGCTGAACTCGTAGTCGGCATAGGCGTCCTTCTGGAAGCTGTACTCGAACTTGATGCCATGATGAGCCTCCCCTGCGACAGCAGCTTGTGGCACGCTTGGCGCGGGGGTTGGAGCTGCAACGGCAGTTGCAGTTGGGACAGCGCCTGGCGACGTGACCTTCAAGGAGTTGTTGCCAGCAGCATCGAGCGGAGTGCCATCCACCAAGTAGCCCACGTCGGCAGCGTACTTCGAAGCTGGCAGCGGAGAGCCCGCAGTGTGGAGGTCGGGCTGCATTCTCTCCGGATGGTTGATCGCGTTGCCGGCCGCGTTCAAGGCTGTGCCATCGGGAAGGTAGCCGACGGAGTTTGTGAACAATGCCCGCGGCAAGGGTGACCCAGGTGTGTGCGGGTCCGGCTGAATGCGTTCAGGATGGTTCATGGCATTACCGGCCTTGTTCAAGGGTGTGCCATCGGGGAGGTAGCCCACGTCGTTGCTGAACTCGTAGTCGGCATAGGCGTCCTTCTGGAAGCTGTACTCGAACTTGATGCCATGATGAGCCTGCTCTGGCTGCACTTGCTCTGTGGAGCCAGCAAGATCGTTGGGGCGTGCCGTCATCGCCTCTACGGGAGAGGGGCGCTTGAAGGAGTTGTTGCCTGCAGTGGCCAGCGGGGTGCCATCCGCCAAGTATCCCAAATCAGCCTTGTACTTTGAGGAAGGTAATGGGGAGCCCGAGGTGTGTACGTCCGGCAGGATTCTCTCTGGGTGGTTGATCGCGTTTCCGGCTCGATTCATGGCCGTGCCATCGGGAAGGTAGCCGACGGAGTTCACGAACACAGCCCGCGGCAAAGGCGAGCCACTCATGTGCCGGTCAGGTCCAATCCTCTCAGGATGGTTGATGGCATTGCCAGCCTTGTTCAGCGGTGTGCCATCAGGGAGATAGCCCACATCATTCAAGTAATCGAAGTCGGGGAGGACCGTTTTCTGGAAACCATACGGCACCTCGACCTCGGCGTCTTTCACGGGCATCTTGGACTCGGCTCGGCGGGCACGGGCCCGCGCGCCGACGGCGGCTGCAGCCGCAGCGGCCAGGATACAGCAGCCCACGCCGCGAACGTGGCAGGAAGCAGAGCTGACGGAGCTGGCCATCATGGGAGCAGCCACAGGGGCTGCAGAGGCCATTGCGGCGGGCGGCGGCGTACGGATGCCTGTGGAGGCTGCGAAGGCGGGCTCCGTCAGCCACCAGACATGGTTGAGGACCAGGAATGCCAGGGCACAGGCAAGGGCACATGCTCCCAGCTTCTCCATCTTGTGCAACAGCTATGCAAATAGCAACGATCTACTCCGAGCTACGGAGCCTACTTTGTACACTTTGGCCACAAGGCAGACTCAAAGCCAGAAAGGCTTGCAGCATGAGGGAGAGGCGCTTGTGTCAACAGGTCGTAGAACTCGCAGTCATGGTACGTGCTAACCAAATAGTAAATGCACTTATAAACCCAATTAGAACCATATTAGGGTAATTAAGGGGCTTATTCAGTGGGTTATAAATACAGTTAGAAGGGTTATGAAGTACCACGTACTACCAAGTAGGGAGGGGGGCTAAGACCCTGGGACCAGGGTCTATACCCTGTACTACTATATTTCCAGTGAAGCCCTAACCCCTCCCCCCCACCACAAGCATTACGGGACCTTCAGCTGCACCAACCACGATTCCACAACAAGCCGGAAAACGCAGCTAGCCTTCCATGCACTTGTTCTAGAAGCTGGAAGCCTAGGTCCTCAGCCTCCAAACTTTGCTACACCCGAATGTGATAAAACCGGTTGGTGTAGCCCTAAACCCACAAACCCTAAGGCTTAAACCCATAACACGTACCCTGACACCCCAAACGCTGCACCTTAAACCTGAACCCCTACATGCTCGACTCCTACAGGGGCGACCTTCTTGTCCATGTCCACCGTCCATGAAGGCGCGACGTCAGCTTGTCCGGATCGATGGTTTCATCCTCCGCCCTCTCCTGCGATTGCCGGTTTCAGGCTCATGGTTGACCTGAATCTAAGTCGATGTGCGCACGGGGGTCTTGCAACGAAAGTCAAGGCATACTTGAGCAAACCCAGAGGCTCTAAAAAGTCCGAGGTAGGTGGTATTTACAGACTTTAAACCCCTATGTAGGTAGGTACTATTTGTAAGCTTGGAGGTTTAGGGAATGGCTCCTTCTGCCGCATCTTCTTGTTCTTCGACTTGCACGGAGGCGGCATGACGTTCTGGCTCCGCGGCTTGAAATCTCCGCCCTGCCTTCAGCTTCAGCTTTCCCCACACCTGGCATGGCATAGCAGCTCTTTGAAGATCCGCTGGGAAACTTTTTCAACACGCCCCAGCTCCATCATTGCGTTCGCCACCAAAGTCTCGTGCTCTTGCCAACACTTCGTCTCGGTGTCGTCGAAGCTCGAGGCCACCGTCGCCCAGGTTCAGCAAAGACTTCGAACCAATGCCATGTTGCGCCAGTGTGGCCATTGCAAGGTCTTGCGCTGCAGACGAAGTGGCGAACGCGTCTCCGGTTTCTATCAGCGTTTGCTGAAGCAGCCTTTCCTTGTCGCACGAAGCCGGCGGGGAGAACGGGAAAACCGCCCTTCGCCCCAGATGTGCAACATCATCTGTCCGCAACCCTAAGTTTAGCTCGTCCCACACAAGGATCTTCTCAACCATTTCAGCATCATCCACCATGACGACGCTTGAAGACTGCGCGAACGGGTGCTCGGTGTCTAAGGAACCCAAGTTTTGCCAATGAAGGCTACAAGTTCCACATGCTGTGCCTTCTGCATGTGCCGCAGGCTTGGCTTTATGTAAGGGCTGCTTTGCTTAGCCCGAAAGTGGCCAAGGGCAACTGAAGAACCCACCTTTGGTCTGCTGGTTCCGGTAGTTTGGAGGCCAGCCGCTTGATTGGCCGCAGGAGATGGCTATGGTGGCAGGGTTCCAACACCAGGCGCACGCCCTGGCAGACGTCCATGGCCCTCTGGTCTGCACCTTGGAACGAGGCACTACCGCTGACAGGCTTGGGGTTCAGGATCGCGCGTCGGCTGAAATTCTTCGAATCGCTTATGTTGGCTAGGAGGGAAATATAGGTAACCTTAACAGGAACTACCTACTCTTGAAGGATTATTAGGTGAACTGCAATCACGTTTCACGGTTTGAAGTTGCAGCCAAGAGGAACTCACGGAAATGCTGGATGAGACGGTCTAAACAACAACTTTAAAAGCTTCATCGGTCCGAGGAGCCCATGGACAGATGATCCGGGTAAGCCAGGAAAAATCGCACGCACAGAGAAACGAGATGTCCCTGTGGCCCCAAGATGCAGGCGATGAGCTTCTGTAGGGCCGTCGGCTGGAACAGAAGCGGCTCCGACCCATCAACCCGTCAGCAGCTAAATGGTGCGAGCGGGGCCTCTGCGCGCATCACCCCATGAAGCTTTGCTGAAGGTCGTGTACAAAATCGTCCAGTGTGGAGGGTCTACCTGTTCCCTGCCATGCTCCCAGTGCCGCACCGCTGTTCGTGCCCAAAGGTGGTGCGACGCCAGCGTTCGAAGGGCCGGCAACGGCCTTTCGGCAGCTGAGGCAGCTAGGCATTCCGTAAAGCGGCCTCCTATGGTCGTAAACCCCCATTTGGGGACGAACCCCTAAACTCCAAAACCTAGCTCAGTGTTCCCCGTGACCTGAACGCGTCCATTGCCCTCAGGCATCCCAAACCCTCAACTCCTTCTGATCCCCAACGCCTAGCCTTGGGGTTAGGGTTTAGTCTTTCCCGAAGGTCCTTCAACGCCACCCGGCCATCCAGTCACGCGAAGTGCTGGCCACAACGACCAAGATTGCCGGCGAGTGGAACCAAATCCTTAGCATTGCTACATGTGCGGAGCGAGGATGGAATGTCAAAACTCAGGATACGATAGGACAAGAGCAGCGCGGAGGGCTGACCCAAGCCTTCTTGAAATTGCAGCCAAAGCTTCAAAAGCCATCTGCTCATCACTTGCCGTGTCCGCCATCCACAGTGTGGGCACTTCTCCCGCGTGTGCCTCAAGTCCACGCACGCTGAGGGTTGTTGCTGTAGTGGTTGGTATTGCCATTGATCTCTTGCTCCTATGTCAACTCCTATGGTTATTGTTTTTGCAGGTCATTGCCAAAATTGCTCAGTGTCATTTGTTGCTACCACGCACTCTCAGTCTGCAAACAATTGCCTATGTGCCAACGCAAGAGGTGTGTGCCGAGGTGCCGCGACGTGCATGCCCTCCACATTCAGCAGCTCGCCTGGTATCCGACAGGCATCGGGCAGGAGCTCACTTCAGCCCTAAACCCTAAACCCTAAACCCCAAACCCCAAACCCTACTTGATGAAAAAGAGGGAGTCCTACCCAGGGCAGTCTAGGGATGGGCCTGTCTGGCTCCACTGGAATGTACCATAATGATAGCAACTCAGTCAAGAAAAGGGTGGTCAACCTCCATTTAAACACTACGACATTAAGGCTAAAAATCACTACAAGTACTGATATATATATATATATATATATGTGTTTATATGTATATACATATATACATATATATATATCCATATCCATATATATATATATATCCATATATATATATATATAGCAATAGAAATTGCTGTGTAATATCAATTTAATGTAATTTACAGAATCATAGAATATGTTTTTGAAGATACCCTGCTCGACGGCCTTTGGGCCCCACGGACCAGCGCAGGCTGGGCGTGCCCCGCTGGCCGAGCACGAGCTCCCCCGCCTCCAACACCCTCGGCTTGAGAACCCTAAGCCCCTAAACCCCTAAACCCCTACACCCCTAAAACCCTAAAACCCTAAAACCCTAAAACCCTAAACCCCTAAACCCCTAAAAAAACCCTAAAACCCTCAACCCGAGGAGAAAGTCGAAAACAAGACGTGGGGGTTCTTGTAGCATGGGTTTGGTTCGAGCATTTAGGGATTCATTCAGGACATCCCGGGTACCCCTATTCTGGGGAAGATCCACTGTACCCCAAACCCCAAACCCTAAACCCTAAACCCCATTTTGGGGCAGACCCGGTGTGCCAGCTTAAACCCTACCTGACCTTCCCTGAGCCTGCAACTGCAGCTCACAAGAGCTCGGGGCCCAAGGCCCCCTCTCAAGAATGGGGTTTGGGTCTTGGGGTTTGGGGTTGGGGTTTGGGGCTTGGGGTTTAGGGTTTAGGGTTTAGGGTTTAGGGTTGAGGGTTTAGGGTTTAGGGTTTGCAGCCGCAAGACGCCACAGAGAGGCCGCAATGCAAGTGGATCAGCTCGCCAGTCCTCGGTTGCAAGCACTTTTCATTCCCGCGAACGGCGGTTTGTTGAGTTCTGAAACGAGGCCACGCTCCTCTGTCAGCAGCCAGTCGCTACAAACCAGTGCCAGGGTTGGCAAAGGAGTTCCTTTTTTGCGACCCGCCCTTAAAGTCTGGGGCAGAGCTTCTGGTCGGGTGAAGCAATGCGGGCTTGGTCGGTTTTTTGAGGACAAGTTCTTGTCGCGCCAAGCAACTCGGGCATCGCTGCTGCATGTCTGTTGTCTTGGCAGCACTGATTCCTTTCGGCCTTCCTGACATTTCTTACAAGACCTGCGCTAGCTAGAGTCGGCCTTTGATCACCTCTAACTTCCTGCTCGACCCTAAACCCTAAGCCCTGAACCCCTCAAGGCCCCGAACCCCCCAAACCCCTAAAGACCCCAAATTCCTCCACCCAAAACCCTAAACCCTAGCTGAACCCTGAAGACCAACTCGGAACCCTCAACCCTCTCGGTGCCCCCACGCATCCAGGAAGAAGAGGAGCAGCGGGCGCTCGCGCCTCGAGCTGGTGAGCGTCAGCTTGGCCTTCCCGGGGCTTCTAAATCCCAAACCCTAAACCCTCAACCCTAAACCCCAAACCCTAAACCCTCAACCCTAAACCCTAAACCCTAAACCCTAAACCCTAAACCCTAACCCGGAGAAAAAAAACTCGGCGCTCTGCTCACAGTTTTGTCTTTTGGGAGCCTGGCATGGACGAGGGTGTCTTTGGGTTTTTTAGGGGCCTTTCTGGACGCCTTCAGAGGTGTTGGGAGGGCTTTTAAGGGTTTAGGGCTCCGATGTCTCACCGACAGCTCACAGCGCGCGATCCGAAGAGTTCTGAGGCAACGAGCCTCTTCCAGATCTGCGGCCTGGATGCACGGAATGTTTGCTGTCAGCGGTCTTCCTTAAAGGGATAGATACCCCAAAATAGGCACAAGAGAAGGAAGCGCTGGCCCTATTTTCTTAATCCCCTCCCCCGTTTATTAAATGGACCCCTAATAATAAAAAACTTTCCGGAAAATCCTGGCGAAAGCAACCCCGCCGTTAAAACCCTATTCCGAATTAGGGGGGGGTGGGGGGGGGGTTCAGGCCTCCAAGAAACCCCTCAACACCAATAAAACCCTCAGAGGGTTTAGGCTTGGGGGTCTGTCTTTCAGTTTACACCACACTTACTTAAGTTGATTACTTGAGTAACCCTGAAGTCTAATGAATTATGACATTTCGATAAGAATACCCCCTACAGTAATTATAAAAACACTTTTCGAATTCTTAAAGGGGGAGGGGGCCCCCCGCGTAATATTAGGGTGATGGGATTAATGGCCTTTAGGATAGTTTTTGAGCTGAGGTACTGCAACACTCCAGAAGTCCCCGTGGGAAGCCATCGACCTGCCAAGCACCCAAAGACAAGGCGAAGGATAATCGTGGGTCACGGTCACACCCGACGGTGAAAGCAGATTCCTGCTTCAGGATGACCGGTCTATACGATGCTATACTATACTATACAATATTCTACTATTGCTATTGTGTACTAAATTATACTATACGATGTTCTATTTTTCTATATTTCACTATATTGAGGGGCACTTTTTCATTGTGAACCATTTCAACACCGCGCCTGGCTCTGTCCACGCCCAGCTTCGGTCGCCAGTATCGCGGTCGCGATTCCCGGGAAGCCACGAACACAAAGCGCTGGCCTCCACTGCAGATGCGTTTCACAGTGGATAGGGATGATAAGGGCGCGTAGAGCGTCACTCAGGTCGACACGCCAGGCTGAACAATCGTGCAGTGGCGCTTCAGGTCCGGGTGGCGAAAGCTCCGTCAAAGCCTCATGTTGTCCAAATTGGGGACCCTTCTGAAACAAGCGAATTATGGGAATCCCACACCCAAAAAATAAGCACCCCTGTTTTCTGAAACCCGAGATTTCCGGGCCATCCTTCTTAAGGCTGAGCGGCACAATGTCCTTGGGTCCAACCAGCCGGCATCATCGCTTCGAGAGCCGCCTGGTGGCTGCAGAGGACCAGCGCAGGAGCCTCGCAGCTTCTTGTCAGGCCTCCGGGAACAGAGAAGACAAAAGTTTGCTAAGTTGCATTCTACTAGATTGTACTAGATTGCACAAAATAGCTAGTTTATGCTATATTATACGATACACGATATTACACTATATTACACTACATTACCATATTGAAGCATATAAAAGTACTGTACTACAGCATTAGAAGCCCAGAATCAGAAAGCCAACAAGGCTCCCCGTGCCCGCCTGCGCATGTCTCCCTGTACCGCTGTTCAGCCGTCTCCCAAGTCTCCTGGTCACGTCACACTTGGGAATCGGCGACATCCTTCATCCACGAATCCGAAACCCTAAACCCTAAACCCTAATCCCTAAACTCTCGAAACCCTAATCCCTAAACCCCCAAACCCTAAACCCTAAACCCGAAACCCTGGCCTCTGCCAGCGCTCCGGCCCAAGCTGGGCCAGGGCCCAGTGTTGTGAGCGCCAACACTTGGGGCCCCACCTCTAGAGGGGGGGTGTCAACAAGGGATTTGGGGTCTGGGGTTTTAGGGTTTGGGGTATAGGGTTTGGGGTTTAGGGTTAGGGTTTAGGGTTTGGGGTTTGGGGATTGGGGTGTCTAGGGCTTAGGGGTCAACAAAGGGATTTCTTCGACAGAGGAGAGGGGCGCCTGCACGGGCTTTGCCTCCTTGCTCCAGTCGGCCAGCCCTGGCTCCACATGGAGCTCCGCCTGCCCACTCCACCTCTCCCCCTCTTCACCTCTTCCCCTCTCCCCCCTCTCCCCCTCTCCCCCTCTCCCCCTCTCCCTCTCCCCCTCTCCCCCCCCCCTCCCCCCTCCCTCCCCCACCTCTCCCCCTCTCCCCTCCCCCTCTTCCTCTCTTCCCCTCTTCCCCTCTTCCCCTCTTTCCCCTCTTCCACCTCTTCCCCTCTTCCCTCTTCCCTCTTCCCCTCTTCTCTTCCCCCTCCCTCTCCCCCTCTCCCCCTCCCCTCTTCCCCTCTTCCCCTCTTCCCCTCTTCCCCTCTCCCCCTCTTCCCCCTCCCCTCTGTCCCTCCCCTCCCCTCGTTCAAGTCGGCTCCTGCCTGCAGCGCTTCGGCGATGGGCCGGGCCGTCTGCAAGCAGCGCCGCGCCGGCGAAGACACCACTGCGGCGCTCAAGGGCCTTGGCGCAGCGTGGCGCGCGGCAGCGCGGCTTTCGCAGCGAGAGCGAAGGCGTGCATCCTTGGCCAGGGAGCCCGATCAGCGACTTCAGGGCGGCCGCTGTGCACTGTGCCTGTCGGGTTCTGAGATTCTGCCAGACAAGGAACGGAAAAAACTATGCAGACTTTACTTGTAGACGCCCACTTGCCTGGAAGAGCCCTGCAACAGTGAGCGGAGCATCTTGCGGAAAACCTAGCTGCACTCACACCCGACCAAGAAGGAACCGCGCTGAAACTGCAGCGATCACAGGATGCCCTGCAGTCCAGGCCCGACACCACTTCCGACTCTCTACCACAAAGACCCCAGCCATCGTCCGGCGGGGGAGGCAGCCCAGGACCATCTGCACGTTCGCCATGACCTCAACAGAGCTCCACACATCCCAATGTTTCTTGTGAAGCTGCACACCACGACCTCGCTGCTTGGGCGGCAAACAACGAAAAAAGTACTCAGCTCAAGCAAGACCAGCTGCGAAGCAGGAAGATGCGACGACACATCCGGAGCGCAGGCCTAGCAGTCCCCAGTACTGTACCTGTTTGTGTGCTGGACTAAGGTCTAGGTCCAAAAGACTTCAAGGCTTGCTTCTTCTGAAACTTTGCTGTAGCCCTCCACATTCTGCGCAAAAAACTTCGAGGGTCAGCAGCTGTCCGAAATCCAGGCCGAGACCCTGATCACAAACACTCGACTTGGAGCCATCGCGGCGCTTTGCGTTGCTTCACCAGTCATTCCCTTTGAAACATGCGAAGAAGGGAGTTTCCGAAAGTTAGGGGTCCTAAATAAGGTGCTTGTCCGAGAGCGCTAGGCTGAATGAGCCCTTCCCAGGGGAAACGGACGCCGCTTTCTTGCTGTGCCTTGTCCTAGCCATTGCAAGCCCGTCGACTTTGACGCAGCAAGCACGCATCTTTTGAGACGCCATGCACGAAGCTCTTCTGGCACCACGGACACCCAGAAGCGGCACAAGACGCCATCGGGCTCCATGTACCGGCTTGGAATCTCAAGGCAAAGTGCAACTGAAAGCTTCACATGGAAACCATCAGCCCCCGAAACCTTGCAGCGACTGGAGTCAAAAGTGTAAACTTGCAGACCACTGTGCTTAACGCGCTCCGTTCGAGAAGAAGGTTGTCAGATTGCACTTTGCGACATCGTATGCGGCTTGCACTGGAGGTGCCACTCATGCTCTCAGCACAACTCATTTCGGGTGCAAAAACTCTGCCCCAATCGCACGCTGGCTACGTCCTACCAGCAGAGGTCAGGGTATGGTCGGCCATGGATTTGCCAGCATCCAAGACTGCATCGCACGGCGGTGAGACGCGGTGAGACACAACAGTCTGCTGTTGATTGCTGGCGCAAGTAGTCAACGAAGAATTTCAAAGCCACCATGTGACGGCCCACTGACCGCTCAGGCCGCCACGCTGAAGGGTATCCTGGAGTATTGGCATTGAGCACGTGATCTGTGAACAAGCTTGCATGGGTGCATGTGGATGCAGTCCTTGCCGCAGCTTTCGAGGCATACCTTAAGCAGGGGAGAGGGGTCGCAGGATACAGCTAGCCTGAGCTGCCTGCTGCCGGAGTGCACTTTTGCATGCGTGGTGGCGAAAATGACCGTGGCACCGATCCTGCAAGTTGCCAAACACAAACCAAGCTCCTAACAGCGTATGACGAGTATGATGACTCTTGGCGCCGGCTCGGGGCCCCACCCGCCGAGCAGCTGTGCCAGCACATAGTTGGGTATGTAGTACCCTGCATAAGACCTGCAAAGTCAGAGAACAGAGTCGAGATCGCTGGAGTCTGAATGCTGTGAGATGGCAGAGGCAGGACGAGTTCAGGAAGCTGGAAGGAGCACAGAGAGAAGCGCGGCACGAAAAGCAAGAGAATGGATAACTACAATGGCAAGCACAAGTTGCCTGCTCTGCATCATGGCCGCCACACCAACTCCCACCCTGAGCAAACTTCCGTTCCACCCAGCGCAACTGAAGTTCGCCTCTTCGAAACGCGTGGCACTCTTAGGGCCGAACGAAACTGCCGGGTTCAGGCCTTGCGCCACGGGAATCCGAAAGGGAATCCGGAGGGAATATTTTAACTTGTTGGGAATAAGCGCGGGATGCAGCAAAAACAGGCGCCAAATTTGACGCCTAAGGACTCGCAAATCGTGTCCTGGTCCAAACTAAACCCTAAACCCTAAACCCTAAACCCTAAACCTTTCGCAGCCAGGAGACACCCACCGGAGATGCTGGCGGAGCAAAGGCTGCCAGCAAGGACTGCCAAGCCGATGGCGAGGCCGAAGTAGAAGTTCCTGAAACACTGCTGGGGTGTAGGGTTTAGGGTTTGGGGTTTAGGGTTTAGGGTTTGGGGTTGAGGGTTTAGGGTTTGGGGTTTGGGGTTTAGGGTTTAGGGTTTAGGGTTTAGGGTTTGGGGTAGTTTAGGGTTTGGGGTAGTTTAGGGTTTGGGGTTTAGGGTTTAGAGTTTAGGGCCTTCTGGGGTCAGAGCTCAAGTTGTACCCTAACCGTGGAAGGGCTCGCAATGTCAAGCCCCCCGCATCAGCTCACGCGTGCCCCAAGTTGCTGGCAGTGTAGCCTAACGACCACGTGACCGCCTACCTCCTGCGACTTGGAGCACGACGCACCACATAAAGCAGGGAGAATTCCCTAAGCCCTAAACGAACCCTAACACCCCCCCCTTGCCCCAAACCTCAACCCCCCCCCCCCCCCCTGCGCGGCCTCTGAAAGCTGCTGGTGATGCCCTTCAGAGACTTTCGAGTGGCTTGTAAGGAACTTGTGTGGGGATGGCTCCCTGAACTTAAAGTTTAGGGTTTACGGTTTAGGGGTTTAGGGGTTTAGGGGTGCAGGGGTCTAGGGGTTTAGGGGTTTGGGGGTTTAGGGGTTTAGGGGTTTTAGGATTTAGGGGTTTAGGGGTTTAGGGGTTTTAGGATTTTGTGTATAAGTTGCAGTAAGCTACATCAGATCCCGGCCCCCCCCCCCACCCCCTTCAATCCACAAATGGCGCCCACCGAGGTTCTCATACAAGAGCAGCTTGCTCTATCAACTCTACTCGTTCTAAAAAAGGCAGGCACCTTCACGCAGGAGACCGACAGGAAGGTCATGCAGAGCAGCAGGGTGAAGGTAAACCTGCCACTGTCGGTGCTTCAAAGTCGCGACCGTTTTCTGGTGAGGGCCAACGGCAAGGGCCACTCGACGATGTAGGCACCGCCGGCTGTGTACTTCTCCTTCGAGCCATCACACATCTCAGACAACTCAGCTGCAAAGCATTTCACCACCCATGCCACAATGCCCAGCACTCTCTGCCCTGCCCGAACCCCCATGCCTGGGGCTCCACACTCCATCTCCTACCTGAGGAGCCCAGATCAAAGTTCGGCAAAATGCGCGGACGAAGCAGACAGCGGCGTGGCGTCGGAGAATGGTATCTGAGCCCATCTGAGCCCAAGGCCTGGCTCGAGGCCCACACAGGCCAGGGCAGCCAAGAGACCAGCCGCCACCTCCGCGCGCTGCACCAGGAAAGCCAGGCACGCAACGCGTGTATCCGCATGTCAACTCGACACAGCCTATGCACATCTGCACAGTACTTCTGGCTTGTGGATGGTTTCGGGATCTGCTACGAGGCAGCTTAAGGTGTGTACCTGTGGCTGGTTTACTGGTGCGTTCCCACTCCTGCGCTGTGCCGATTTTTGCTCTTGTTCTGACACTTGGCCCGGGCCTGCACCACCCAGTAGGTCAGCAGCTGCGTGACGGAAAGTCTGCGGGTGCGCGAAAGCACCTCGAGCTTGCAACTCCAGAGCGCCGAGGGCCCCTCGGAGGCCTTGAAGGAACCTCTCCCTGACCTCTTTCGCTGGGAGCGCTCTTTATGGCGGCGCCTTCGGCATGGATTCCGAAACCCCAAAATCCTAAACCCTGAGCCCCAAACCCGGAGTTTTACAGCCTCCTTAAACCCTAAACCCGAAACCCTGAACCCTAGGGCCTTTTGCTCCAAGAGCCCGGCAACTGCTGTGGTCACGGCTGGGTTGAAGTGGCCTCTGGGTCTTCGAAGTCTGTGAGCCCACCGTGACCCTATGTAGGGAATAGGGTTTAGAATTAAAGGATTAAGGGTTTAGGGTGTGTAGCAGTGTACGCCCGGGGGGGGGGGGGGGGGCGCCTTTTCTTTCGACTTGGGGGTGCACTCCCTACCCAAAATCACAGGGCTGATCCGACCCCATACAGGAGTGCAGCCCTGAAATTGCATGGGGCCGCCTCACCCACCATATCCCAAGCCCACCAGACCGCGAGCCTCCAGACAGGTCGCCGACCGCATAGACAAGGCTCCTGCAAGACTTGGAGAGGTGGTGAGCATGAGCCACCCTAAAACCTAAACCCTAAACCTTAAACCCTAAACCCCCACGCCCTATAGAAAGACTGGGAATACGGCATGAGCGCTGTGGCCGTGGTCCACGAGCACGTCTCGGGCGTGGTGCGAACACCGCTCAGCCCTGGCGACAAAACGGTTTAGGGTTTGGGGTTTAGGGTTTGGGGTTTAGGGTTTAGGGTTTAGGGTTTAGGGTTTAGGGTTTAGGGTTTAGGGTTTAGGGTTTAGGGTAACTCCGTCTGCATCGCTCGACTTGCCTTACTCCTGAAGACACTGCTGTTACCCTCGCGGTGCCAAAACACTGCTCCGTGCGTCACTGGCGGCGTCTTGACTGCCATCATACGCCTAAACCCTAAACCCTAAAGCCTAAACCCTAAATCCCTCCATCCATTTGCTCTACCTCGCCCATCCCTTTTCAACACCAAACCCCAAGGCAGAGACCCTGCCCATTTCAAACCAGCCGCTCGCGTGACGATGAAAAGACCAACGATGGAAAGAGATAAAGCGAGTCTGCAGTCACGCAATCGAGCCAAGGTTACAAGAAAAGGCCGCTACATGCCGCCACAGTCTGAGATAAAAAAAAAGCAAAGTCGTGAGCCAGGCACCGTAGGTGACCACGACGAGGAAGGTTCCGATGAACTCGCTGGCATACCTTTTGCTTCGGCTTCTTTCTTCAGGACCAGGCTTGACAACAGAAAGGCTCGGGCTCAGGCTTTATCGCATCGCTGGGCTCGTAGCTCTGAAAGGTTGCTAGGTCCACGTACTCTTCAGGTCCTTGGAACGCACAGGAGCAAGGTCTGAAGGCATGTGGCGTCCATTCCTTGCGACCTCTACGCCGAATCTGAAGTTCTTGTGAAGGTGCCACCGAAACCCGCAGCCGAGCGGCGAAGTATCCGAAAGAGCACTGCGGCCACGAGGCTCGCAAGCAACTGCCAGTCAGGGGCCGCTGGCGAAAGCTTAGGAGCACTGCACGGGCGTTAGTCACAGATGTGAGCCCTTTGCAATTTCTATCACAGTAGAGTCCTGAGATTTGAAAGAGGCCCGTCATGTAGATTAACTCCCACATGGTTATCCTACGATGTCCTGCGGCCGGTCTCCTCTTGTGCCGTGTCGGATGAAGATGCACGCCTGGTAGCCGAGGTACATCAGTGGCCCCGCGTCCTGCAAGTGAGGGTGGCTCAATGATGACAGCCATGCAAGGAGAGCTCTCCCAGCGTGACCGTCTTCCATCTTATCAAAGACCCTAAACCCTAAACCCTAAACCCTAAACCCTAAACCCTAAACCCTAAACAAAAGAGAGATTCTCCCCAAGTTGGACACTCGGGGAAGGCTAGGCAGGCTGGACTCGCACCTTTCTCTTGCTCCCAAGCCCCCTAGAAAACTTGCGGGCAAGGGGCAGCTTCGCCACAGTGATCAGCAACATACTCACACATTAAAACTGGGAGAGAAGTTGCACTACGCCGTCGCTCATCTGAGGTCTTGAGTCGGCGGAGCTTCTACCCTGTGGAGCGCTGCTTACGTATGGAGGGCTATCATGCAAAGTGGCCACACGAGGACAACGGGTCGATCCTGCGTCTCACCGACGCATCTCTCGAGAGATTCACTTGAAGAGGATGTTTTGTCTAGGCACTTTGTACGGGCTCTGCACTGGATCCCTTTCAAATTATGCATGTCAGAACTTTCCATTCTCTTCTTTTGCACAGCTCGGACTAAGCATGAGAAAGGGAAAGAAACCAAGCAGGCATCAAGCAGTCGGAACATCCTTGCTGACGGCTCCGATGCCCAGTGCTACGGCAGGGTTGAAGACCTGGGACCCGCTGCGTAAACCACCATGACTTGCTGCTTTCAAGTGGTATTTCTGCACGCCGCGGACAGCGTGTCTCGTGCTCACATTGATAGAACCTGAGGGCCCGGCTCCACCAGACATCTGCGACGCCCCGATGCCAGCAACCAGCGCGAAACCGCAGGCAAGGCCCTGCAGCGCAAGCTCCATGCCAACTAGCAATGTAGGGTTTAGGGTTTAGGGTTTAGGGTTTAGAGATTAACACCATACTAGAAACCGGGTGGCGTCCCATACCAAGCTACGTTCCGCTATGCTCTACGATGACATACTCTGATCTACCATGATATACAACGTACGATGACACACTGATGACGCGCTCGAATATACTACGACATACATGAGAGGATCGGAGAATTTTGAAGTTCTCAACCCCTGAACCTTGCAGATCTGGGCCCGCAGCGTAAAACTGGTTCGGCTCCTGGTCGGGGTTGTTCCGCCTGGAATACACCTGGGCTTTACACCCGGGAGCTTCCAAGGCTTTTACCCCTCAAGTCTCCAAATCCGAAAAACAGGCCTGAAACCCGAAAACCCTCAAGACCTGTAGATCCCTAAAGTTCCTCAAGCCCTACACCCGGCACGTATGCCTTGCATGATAAGTTGCATGTATGGATGCATGTGCATTGGAACTCTTATGGTGTACTTGCATTTGCATTGTATGTGCATCTGTGCTGGTATGTTCATGTGCCTTTGCATTTGTAGTTTCATTGGTGCGTTGACTTCGTCGTTGTATATTGCTGACCTGAAGGCCCCAAACCTATAGCCCTGCACCCAGCACCGGTGCGTGAATCCTTGTCCGATAGATTCAGGGGTTTAGGGGTCCTAAACCCTAAACCCTAGACCCTAAACCCAGTTTGGATGTTTAGGTTTGAGGGGGAGATTCGAGGCTTCACGCTTTTGGGGTGTAGGGCCGTAAGACTTGTAGGGCTAAGGGCTCCATTAGGGTTCAGTGCTCAGGGCTTAGGAGTTTTGAGTTTTCGCTGAGGGGTTCGGGGTCTAGGCCTGTTCTTCAAGTTCACCCTAAACCCTAAACCCTAAACCCTAAACCCTAAAACCCTACACCCTACACCCTAAACCCTAAACCCTCAACCCTAAACCCTAAACCCTACGTACGGGTACGTGGCTTGGGAAGCTGAAGCTGGATCTTAGATCTGCAAAGTCCTGGCTCTCGGCTCCAGGGGTTTTGTGTTCAGGGTTTAGTTCAGGGTTTCGGGCTTAGAAAACCCTGACCCCGCTTATGTGCTTGGCCTTGCTTGCTACAGTCACTTACCGCCACAGATCCTTAACTCATGTTTGCCCTTGGCCTGCATGTAAATAAAGGACCCTTGGGTTGCAGCCACTGCGGGCACCCGAAACCCTGAACCCGAAACCACACGCAGGGTGCCAACGGCAAGTGCTGCCAAAGGAGCGCAGAGGACGACGAAGTCTAGCATGGCTGTGTACATCAACTCCACCTCAGACGGCTGCTCCAGCCGTCCATAATACTTGTTTCTGGTTGAACGAGAAGGAAGGTACCACACCGTTTTCACTTCTGGGCGAGGACCTGGAAGCCTAAAAGCTTCAAACTCGCGACACCCCTCCCCAATTCGAGAAGCGACTACGAGTAGCCCTTACGTGCTGCTTAACATGATGCCCGGACTCACGACCCTTGCGATTGAGACTGGGTTGGACGCGCAAGCTCGAAACTCAAAGTGACGACGGAATCTTGTTCTACTCGGGCTGCCACCAGGCATGCCTGTGTCCAGCTGCTTCCGACCTGGAGAGGCAGCTTTGTTTTTGGTTGAGGAACAAAGAGGAGTCAGGGCTTGGGGGCCGCAGTTCTTCCTGCAAGAAGCAGAGCCTAAGCCAGAATCCTGGTGTTCAGGGTCTGCAGCCGTCTTTCAACAATCTGATCCCAAGTCACCATAAGTCACCCCCTCAAAGCATACGGAGAGCCGTCATCGGCCTACACAGCCCATGTAAGGCACCCCGGGCCTTGGGGACGATGGCCGGGACCTCCTAAACGCAGGCGGAAGCAGAGACTGAAAGGCTTCAGAAACCCAGACTGAAAGAAAGCTCTGCACTGCTGACGGTAGTTCTATGCAGCAGGCAACGGTCTGGGGCATTCGTTGGGGGGGATAGTGGTGGTGCATGTACTTTTCGAGCCAATGCCTAGCAGGGCAAAACTCTGGACCCTAAACCCTAAACCCTAAACCCTAAACAGTAGGTTTCCATGCGCCCCGGGAAACCCGGGACTCGATTCCTCGAAGAGTTGCCGGACGGCCAGCAGGGCCAGGATGGCGGCACAGACCTGCGCCAGGATGTAGGCCTCAGCGGGGTTTCGCACGTGCGGAGTCAGGGTTTGGGGTTTAGGGTTTAGGGTTTAGGGTTTAGGGTTTAGGGTTTAGGGCTCAGGGCTTAGGGCTTAGAGCTTAGGGCTTAGGGGTTCGGGTTTGGTTTAGGGTGTCCCTTCGAACCGAGGCCGATCTTTCGGGCCTTCAGGCTTGCAGAACCAATTGGGGACCTGGCGCACGTGGTGACTCCGCGCAGCTTGCCGATGAGAAACCTTAGGAGGCCAAGGGCGGACGGCTCAAGTCAAGCGAAGGCGGTCTTGATATTCTGCAGACTGCGACAGTCACGCACAGCCAAGCAGTCTCAAGAGTCATGCCCCAGAACGAGAGAACTCTCCAACCATCACTCCACCAGAATGAGAAGCAAAGATGTTTGATTTCAGCCTTGGAGATCTGCTGTGTAGAAGACAAGCTGCATTGATATGGATATCGACGGGTTCAGATGGCCTCCAGATATTGGCCCAAACGCGTACATCATTACCTCAGAGTCTGACATCCGTGCAGCAACCCGGCACCATCTCCCGACTCTCTGTGCGTAAAGAGAAGCTATCTTACACTACTTGGCATTGCCAGATGGCCAGACACCTTCTCTACTGATGCACTAGGGCATCCGGGAAACCATGGATACAGCGGCAATGGAAACGCTTGCCCAGTCCAGCTGTATGCCGGACAACGTTGTGCAGCCGACCTCAGTGTGCGAGGGTCAGCGGCAAGGTGCAGATTGAGATGCACCGGCTGCAAACATAGCGACACAGAAAAGTCTCGGCCGCAGTGTGATCCCATCTTAGCGCGGGACGGTGAAGGCAACCACGAAGGTCCCGACAAACTCGGCCGACAGCGCTTCGAAGGTCAGCGGCTTCATGACAGGCCAGGGCCCTGACAAAGAAGTTATTGGGGGGGGGGGGGGGTGGGGTGTGGGGGGGTGGGGGGGGGGGGGGGTGGGGGGGGGGGGGGGGGGGGGGGGGGGGGTGGGGGGGGGTGGGGGGGGTGGGGGGTGGGGGGGGGGGGGGGGGGGGGGGGGGTGGTGGGGGGGGGGTGTGTGGGGGGGTGGGGGGGGGGGGGGGGTGGGGGAGGGGGGGGTGGGGGGGGGGTGAGGGGGGTGGAGGAGGCCTACGGGGCTTTGGGAGAATGTAGGGTTTGAGCGTTTTAGGGCAACTAGGTCTTTAGGGTGCTGAGGGCTTGCGATTGCAGCAGGGTATGCTCCAGCACGCCTGACATCGCAAAATCTGATCACCAATTCACAAGAACAAAACAGTGAAACGAGTTACAAAACAATGCTACATATAAACAAAAGAAGACATCGCAACAATAACAAAGGATTAAAACACAACGAAGAGGAAGCAATATCTTAGTGTAGCGGAAGAAAAGTGTGTCATGTTCGATTCTGTTACATTCGATCATACTTCATTGTATAAATGTTCTCCAGCATACTAATGACATAAAGAAAGCCCAAATGGAGAACCACAAGGAATCTTATGGAACCTGGGTGCAGGCCTCTGCCAAGGCCTTTTCCAGGGCCTTTGCCCACACTAGGTTCGGTTCTCGGATTGAGCACACATTGGGCTGCGGGCAACGAAGCCTCGAGACGGGAGAAGACGCTGAGAGGCTGAAGTCTGCCACTATCATCACTATCTCTCCCTGAGCTCGCTGTCTTTCCCTTGAGGACGAACCCCGCGCGCACTTGGGCGCGGGAGCCGTTTGGGGCACTCGATAATACTTGGGGCTTGGGGAGAGATATGCGTATCCCCTTCTCTCTCTTTCTTTCTTCCTGCGCAACCTAAACCCATCGAGGAGGGCCGCCCGAAGGCGTGCGTTGTTGAGTTTGACGAAGTGACCGATGCCCTGGAGCCTCCGGGAGAGTACTGGCGCTAAATTCTTGAATTGAGGGCTTCTCCCAGTTGGTTGACCTATCCCCTCCATTGATTAACATCCTCTCTCTCCCTCTTTCCGCAGAGTTGGTTGTTGGAAGTGCTAGAGGCTCGGCTATTCATCCTCAACGGCAACACCAGAAAGGCAAGAAAGCTGATCTGTCGACGCAAACTGCTTGTTGGATTCGTGTGTGAGGCGTGTATTTCGGAAATGTGCAAATTTTGTGGAGAAGTGTGTCCACAGTCGCTGAAAATCAAAAACAAAAGCACGAAGAACAGTTGAGAAGGGAACAGTAGTGTCCGTAAGAAACCACCACCCAAGTGGGCGTTGTATTTCCTAGGACATGCTAGTCGAAAACCAGTGGGGAAATTCGATTGGCTTTGATTTTGGGCTTTGGCTTCAGCAAAGTTTCCTTGAAAACACCTCTGGCGCTGGCTTGGCTTTAGCAGAGCCTCCCTCCATTCCAGGATCTGGGTCGGGTTCTTGGTTCTCTTTGTTTCGGCGCCCTAAACCCTAAACCCTAAACCCTAAACCCTAAACCCTAAACCCTCAACCCTCCTTTCCGCTCAAGCTCTGAATTCTGCTCCGCGTCCCTTTGGGATGGAGCCTTTGACATGGCCTACACCCGCGAAGCCACGGCTGCGGTGAAGCTTTCGGGTTTAGGGTTTAGGGTTTGGGGTTTGGGGTTTGGGGTTTGGGGTTTGGGGTTTAGGGTCACCCCCCCCCCCCCATGCTTGAGCACACAGCTTGGCTTCAACTGCTGGCTTATCGGAATCAGACACGTTTCTGGTAAACCCTAAACCCTAAAACCTAAACCCTAAACCCTAAACCCCCAAAGTGTGTGCTTGGGAAGGAGAGAGAGAAAGCACGGAAGGTGCTTCATCGAGGCCGAGGAGAGGCGTGCGGGCACTACGAGCACCTTGGGAGGCTCGTGTCCAGGGCGAGGCCCAGGAGCATCACAACTTGGGGTTTAGGGTTTAGGGTCTAGGGGTTAGGGGTTAAGGGTTTAGGGGTTAAGGTTCAGGGTTGAGGGTTTAGGCCCTCAGGGTTAAGGACGTAGAGGCTCAGGGGTACAACGAACACCACTCCGCACCGATGACACTAATGCCCCATGACAGCCTCGGCATGCGTTAACGGTGGCTACATGCAGCTCACAGAGCGCCTCTGAGGGCAGCCTGTGGGGGTCGGCACTCACTTCTGCGCTGCCGCCTCTTGCGCGAGCTGCGTCATGGACATCTCGGTCGGGGCGACAGGTGTGCCATACTATGACAACAAACATTCATCATTCATTCACCAAACGTCAATTCATGTCATCCAACGTGGGTGCGTGGATGTCTCATCCGCGCGTATGTCCCTGAGTAACCCAAAGCATTACCTGGGTGGCCGGCCGCGCGCTTCTGCAGTCCTTTGCCGCAGGCAAGAATCAAGGGCCTAGAATACCAATCTTCGTTGTCATTGCTAGCTATGTAAGAAAGAAATATAATAATTGCAACGGTAACAACAATGACAATGATAATAATCTTAATAACAACATAAGAACAATAAATCTCATGGTACCAGAATATGGAGGGTTGCCGAGTGCCGCCCAGCAACGCACCGTGAAGCCATACTTGGGGATCATGTAGCCCTGCTTCTTGAAGCCTGGCGATCCATTGCCAAACCCGAAACACCCCAAACCCAAAACCAGGCCCTGAACCCCAAACCCAAAACCAGGCCCTGAACCCCAAACCCCTTAAAATAGCCCCCTACAAGCCATAGGGCCTACGTTTACGGGCGTTTTGGGGGCAGTTTTGAATTTTAGGGTTCGGGTGCATAGTTCAAGCTCACAGTTGCTGGGGTACTTTAGGTAGTGTTCTAGGATGATTTAGGATCCCTAAACCCTAGGATGATTTCTAAACCCTCAACCCTCAACCCTAAACTCTAAACCCTCTGGGTTCAGGGGTTTTGAAGGTATTCAAGCCCGCACCCTTGGAGACTTCGTGGATGATCGACTTGGAGGTCTCCGCGGGGTCCAGGAGCTCGTTGCCCTTCGCATCCTGGCTCTTCCAGGGTTCAGGGCTGAGGGGCTTGGGGTTTAAAAGGTTTAGGGTTTAGGGTTTAGGGTTTAGGGTTTGGGGTTTGGGGTTTAGGGTTTAGGGTTTAGGGTTTAGGGTTTAGGGTTTAGGGTTTAGGGTTTAGGGTTAGGGTCTAGGGTTTCGGGTTTCGGGTTCCGGGAAAATGGACGAAAGCTTGGACTCGCAGCAGAAAGCCGGCCGCCCGCTCTTTAAGTCCGCGGCCCTGCCCTCGATGATGTTGGCCTGGATCTGATCCTGAGCCCGCACCTGGCAATGGCCGGCACAAGATGAAGTGCCCTGTTCCCACGACGCATCAAGACGCACCGAGAAAAACAACAAATACATGTATAGAAACATATGCAGCTCATATGCATGTGTGCATAGAGGTTGCAAGATGCCAAGAAGTCCCTGCAAAGGGCAAAGGGGTCACAAATCGACACGGCCGAGTCGCCAAGGCTCGGATCTTGAGCTTTCCCTGGAGGGACCTGGGAGGTAAGCTGGGTGCCACATGGCACACTCCACTCTGCCCGGTCCGCTCAGAGAGAAGGGGAGGGAGGGAGGAAGGGGAGGGAGGAAGAGAGACAGAGAGAGAGAGGGGAAGAGAGAGAGAGAGAGAGACAGAGAGCGAGAGAGAGAGAGAGACAGAGAGAGAGACCCCAAACTTTATCGCAACCAGCAGGATACCCGCCAAATGGCCCAATGGTCGACCGCGGCAACTCCAAGAATGCTGTTCAAACTTAGGTGTCCGTCTGGACAAAGATGCTATGTTTCACTACAGCGTCTAGCTCACCATAGCCCACGTCGGCAAATGCCATCCACAATTAGCTTCGCGTGATACAACTCTTGCAAAACTGGCGGTCCCTGGCAAGGGCATGCATGCTTCAGCGTGCCGGACGATGCCCTCTGACCTGATCGAGACAGGCACTCCAACATTTCGATCTGCAGCAGCTCGTCCATGTCGGGGTCCTGTGCGAAACTCAAAGAGGTTCTTGTGATACGGGGCTTTACGAAGATAGCCCGAAAAAAGACCCCCAAATAGTAGGATTCCCTGAAAACAAGGACCCCAAAAAGGCACCCCTAATTTCGGAAACCCCCTTAAAATACTTTTTCAAAGGCTCTTTAAACAGGTCTCCAACTCCTCAGAGGGTCTCCCCCCGTGCCCACGTGGCCTCCAGGGGCTCTCCGCTCTTCTCCGCCTGCGCAGGTTGTGGCCACGACCAGCTACTTAGGATGCATCCTCTCTCTCTGCTATAATGAGGGAACATTTTCGGGCCCTATACATACTTTTTCCTTAAGGGATGATATAGGGCACCTCACTCCCCTCACTCCTTACGAAGAGCCAGCCAGAAGGGTGCCAGTCTTGCGCTCCTGCTCGATGATCTCGCGGCGGCGCTGCGCGGCCTCACGGAGACACCGGAACGACAGAGGCCCCCCAAGAGATCCGGGGGATGTGGAGATCTTCCCTGGTTGCTTCGAGCCTTTCTCATACAGCTTTCTTCTATCAACCGTTTCAGAACCAACCACAACCTGGGATGACACCTTGTCAGACCCAAGTCTTCGGGCTACCCGAGTCGATGCGGCCGCATGTCCCAGCAACTAGCAAGCAGATGGTGTCTGAACCTTCTGTGGGATTCACATGTTTAGGGCTGTCATGCAAGCACCAACTTCTGGGTGACGAAAGCTCAAGCAAGAGGGGGAGGCTCCCTCAGGGAACAATCATGTAAAGAGGACTTCCGCGTGTAGCCCCCCCCCAAAAGGCCTTGTCAGCCCAAAAAGACTGAGAAAAGTACCGAATATGGTCACTCGGAAAACCATCCCTAGCCCCTGTCAGCCCTAAATCAGGCCCTGGGGAGAACTATGAGGGACACCTTCGAGAAGAGATGACATCAAACCCCCCTTGAAACTGATCAGCTCTAGCTGTGCGTTTAAGGAGGTAACTCTCGTAGGGGAAGCCAGGGTGCTCCGAGTGACTGGCTTCTTGTTTGGGTTGCTCTGGCGCACTTCTAGGAAGGACGGTCCGCAATCCCCATCGAAGCATCCAGGCCTCAATGGCCCAGACGCTGCCCGGCGGAGCCCGTTCTGGCAAAGCCCGCATGAAGGCCTGATCGCCGCAGACAGACAGCGAGAACAGTTGAAGCGGCAAGAGCAGGAACGGCAGCATCCATGGCTCGGCCAAGTCAGAGTTTGAACGCTCTTAGAATCAGCAATGCCCATGGTACGCCGATGAGCAGTCTCAAAAGCAGCGAGGCACTGCATTGCAAACGGGAGACGTCCGTGAACGGTTTCCGCCAAACTCGGTCGAAGTCCTCCTGATCCAGAGAGAAGACGGGCTTTGAGGTACCCTGAAGCCCTGAAACCCTAAAACCCCAAAACCCTACAACCCTCTTTCATCCAGAGGCCTCTTGAAGCATACCAGGGAAGTTTTGGGAGGAAAGGTTGGGGGGAGCATGGAATAATTGGCGCAATCCTGACTCAAGGAACCTCCGAAAAGGGTACCCCCTTTCGCTTCTTTTCGCGGGCCTCGTCATGCTGGCCAAAGCCAATGGCACGAACCCACTGCTGCTGGCCGAAGACATCCTGCGCCAGGGTTTCGGATTCACTGCCGATTTGCACCCATGAGCACCTCAAAAATATGGCTTGTTTCCCAAGCGAGAAACCCCTCTCAAGAACACCCTCTTCACAACTGGCATTTCTCGGCTTGCTGCGGCCTCCTCCTCGAAGTTCAGCTCCTCCTCCTCCACGACGACCTCGCCTCGTGGATCACAAACTGGCTACACGAAATCGTCTTCCCACAGCCTTCAGCCTTCAGAGCTCCTGGGCTCCTGGGCGCTCCCCTGAGCCGGGCACCGACTTCCTCGGCGTCTCCGGTGAAGCCCGAGATGCCGCTACTGCTGGACTCATCTTCGGCCGCTTCTGGGCAGGGCGCTGAGAAGGATCCGAGGTTTCGAAGGGTTTCTTTTTGTGTGCGCCCAGGTTAGAAGGCAGTTAATAAGACTTAATAGGGGATTCCCTGGCCGTCCAGAACATCGCAAGGCCCACGGTGAGAGGAAACAACTCCCGGGCCTCTTTCCGCAATCTCCGCCAGCTCCCGGCGGTGGAACTCTTCATACGTCTGCGCGCCACCCGAACAATCCATCTCGACACTACGCAAATCTGCATTCAGCAATTGCAAAGGGTCATGAGCCATGATGCAGAAAATGCGTCTGGACATCGGCTCAGCATGGCTGGGCCGCGGGCAATCCCCAGCTCTTTGGCCTTGATCTTGTCTTCCCTGTGCCAGGGCTCATGGAGGGTTTCTAGGGCTTAGGGCAAAAAGGAAATCATGTTTCGTCTCTTCCCCCGGTAAACTGCTCTCCCCCCCCTCCGAGATCCCCCGGACCCGTGGAGCCTGTACTTGGCTTGCGCGGCCAACTGCTGCTGCTTGCGGTAGATGGCATTCCAGCGATCTGGCTCCTGGAAGGCGCACGAAGCAAAAAAAAACATGCCCCCCCCCCCCGCCTACCCTAAACCCTAACCCTAAACCCTAAACCCTAAACCCTAAACCCGCAATGGCAGGACAATCCACGGGACCCGGCCTCGGCCTCGGCCCAGCGTGCCTTGAAGGCGTCGGCGCCGAGTCCCTGGAAGGGTTTAGTGTTCAGGGTTTAGGGTTTCGGATTAGGGTTTAAGGTTTAGGGCTTAGGGTTTAGGGTTTAGGGTTTAGGGTTTAGGGGTTAGGGTTTAGGGTTTAGGGTTCAGGGTCAAAAAGGGGGTCCATAGGGGATTTAAGGTCAGGTCTAGGGGTTTAGGAAGTTTAGGGGTCAGGGTTCAGGGTTTAGGTGTTGAGGGTAGCGGATTTAGGGTCTAACTAGGCTTTAGGGTTTAGCGTTCACGGTTTTCGTTTCCTTGCTATGCCATGCGATGTAGTCGGCCATGTCGTTTGCAGTGTATGCTACCTGCCCCGGGGCTCACGGCAACAATGCCGCCTACCTCCTCTTAACCCACCCCTGCAGCCTCTGCCACCTCGATCATGTTCCGCACCTCCTCGCGCAGCCGCGGCGTGAGCCACTCCTCAGTCTCCCCACTTTTGGGGCCCCTGAGCGGCCTGTGGGGGATGCCAGGGGATATCTGAAACCAGCTGTGATGTGCACGCTTTCAAGTGAGATTCACAAAAAGGACCAGCGAAACGAGATGAAGGGAGCCTACCACGGCATCAAAGAGTCCTGAGGCTGTGGCTCCATTGCCCTGGAGCTCCTGGGGCTTCAGACCCTGGGTTTCGATGCGATGGTCCTGCAGAAGTTCGCATTTCCCAAGGATTAAGGGTTTAGGGTTTAGGGTTTAGGGTTAGGGAGGACATGGGAGGGGTGGTGCCTGCGAGTGGTGCTCATCTGGCAACACTGAGCGCCGAGCACCCTTCTTCGTCTCTTCCAAGGCCCGGCGGAGTCGCGTGGCAGCCTTCAGGTAAGTCATGGAGTACTCGGAGCAAGAGTCGCTTCTACTCGCTTTAAACGTTCCGAGCGCCGAGTTCTTTAGCGCTTCAGTGCTTGCTTTACTGTTTTGTGGTCTGAGAGGTCCATCTCCCTTCCATCCAACTTCCGGCGACTGCCCTCAAAATCGCTGCCATACTTCATGGACAGTGACCGTACCCCTGCCTGGCGGACGATCCACTCGGTGTCTTCCCCTCCTGCTTGCACCAACGCTGCCTCGACGAGACTTGGCTCAAGAGACGCGCAACAGGCGACGCGAGGTTTGTTGTCAGCTAGTGTCATGAAGTGATCTTTACTCGCTGTGTTTGAACCCGAACAAAGTACCAAGTAACTAGCGCAAGTCGCACGCGACTTGCAAGGCTGCACACAAGGCAAGGTGTACCTGGACCTAGAAGGTGTAGCTGCACCGTAGCTTCTACCTCCGCATCCCACGCATTCCTCAGTAGACTCCCGCCTGCCAGTGCTTCTCCGCTTCGGAGCCAGCAACTGGCATGCCGGCCGGCCTACAGACGCTGACCCTCTCGGTGGTCTCGTACCCAGACGGCTCTGGTAGTCTGAGGTCACAACGCAGAGAGCAGCGCCAGCTCCTGCGAGAGAAGAATTGAAGAAACACAGCGAAATCTACAAACGGATCCCCTACGTGGACTCCTTAAGCCTGCTTAAACTTCGTTGTTCGTTGGAAGGTTTTGCCCCACAACCTACAGAACCCGCTTCAAAAGGCAGGAGCCCCAGGAAAGCGTGAATCAAACAGCGGGGAACCCGAGCTCGGCAATCTCAGCTCCCAGCTCGCAGTCTCGCCAGTACCGAGAACACCTGAGGGACTGAGCCAAAGCTCTGAACTTACAAGCTTCTATGTATTGAACTTTATATATATATACATATATATATATATATATATATCTAATAGATATACATACATGTAAATATCTAGAAATATTTGGCTATTTATCTACTCATATTATAGTTATATTCTATTCATTACAAGGACTTCTCAGATTGCCCAAGCTTTGCCAGCACCATGAGCAAACCACTATCGAAGCCACAGAACGGGACTGGCAAGGCTTTCCGTGAAGCTTCGGCGGTACGAATGAAACCCTCAACCCGGCACCCTGCTCTCGAACTCGGGGCTGCGGCCGCACTGATGACAGGGGAGTTCTGCGAGCACGCGGCGCAGCCCACGCAGCTTTACGACACTTCGAATCTCCGAGACTTTGCCTAAAGAATCGTGCAGGGGCGGCTATTTCTGCCAGGCAGTGATACGAATATCTGGGGCGCTTCAGATGCGATGCTCACATGAGCTGTCCTCACTGTGCGTTCGCAAGGCGCTGATGAGGGCCGTCTTCATGCTGGCCATGTGCTTGAAGATCTGGCCCCAGGACGCACGTCAGGTCCCGTTCATCAGAAGCTTGTATGGTTCGCGCCAACTAGCACTGTCAGCATGCCCGTGACACTCCTTGTTCCCCAATGTTCCCAAACTTTTTCCCAAAGACCGGCGGGCTACTCCTAGATGCAGACTCCCGTGTGAACCCCAGGAATATTCCAGGGTCTCTCTAGCATAAAAACTAGACTCAGAACCTGAATCAGAGTCAATCGCTTCTCGCCCAGCAAGCGTTGGCGCAAGGGCTCCCATGGTTCCCTAAACCCTAAACCCTAAACCCTAAACCCTAAATCCTAAACTCCCACCCGCTGTAATCGGCCACCTCGTCAAACTGCCGATCTTCAGCGACGACGGTGTTTCGCAGCTTCAACTGCCAAGAGTCTGTGCAAAAATTCAATCCAAAATTATCATGATTATTCTTCTTCTTCTACTTATTACTATGCTTAATATTACTATGATTATTACTACTATTATCATTATAACTATCATTACTATTACTATGATTGTTCTCTTCCTTTATTGTTGTTGTTATTATTACTATTATTTTTTACTACTATTCTTACTCTTACTATCCATTGGCAAGTGAAGCCATGGCCTCCACGTGGCGGCATCTATTCCTGCCTTGATCGTTTGCCTGTCGAAGGGGTGGAAACATGGATCTTTTTGAGGGGTCCGCACCCAACCAGTGCTGCAATACGCAGTGCAATGCTGGAAACCTGTGGGCCATGCTACTGAAGGCGTTGACGGAAGCATTCTCACTTTCTCGCATCAACACAATAGCATTCCAAAAGTTCTTCAGACGAGCCATCACAAAAGCTGGGCTACATCAGGAATTCTCTTCACAACTCGGCCGTCCACGCGCATAAGACCCGCTTGCCTTCTGCACGAGGGCCTTGTGATGCCTTGCAGGTTTCATGATAGCTGATCGAACCGCAGCCTCCAAGGCCTGTAACCTGCCCTTTGACCACAGCCATGTAAAGGAAGGCTCTGGCCCAGTACCTGATCCCCTATCGCCCCCCAAGGCCCCTCGTGAGAACATCGTTGAGCTGACATCGCTGCATACCTTTTCTGTCTGCACACCACTCGCCTTTCTACACCAAGTACAGCAAGTTCACTTCCCCAAGCGTCCGGCTCGAAGATGAGCAAGAACAGCCGACCTGCCGTGAGAACTCTTTGCCTCTGGCTCTTCGGTTCTTACTTACAGCAAAGAATGGGCACAAGAGGCAAACAAAAAAGGCCCACAGAAGGCCCTGCATGGCGGGGACGCAGGTCTTGACCACGATGGCAGGACGATCCTTTGCGGCATGCCCTCGGAGTGCCTGAGAGGCAGGAACTGGCAAAGAAAACGCTGCCCACTGCCTCTCCTACTCTGCTCTATTCAGCCCTACTCATAGTCCATTCTGTTCCACATCACGCGCCATTCTGCATAACGTCGCATAATATACGGTACGCTCCATCCTTCGGAGTCTCACTCCCCGAAGCTTTCGGGGGGAATCCTGGGCTCGGGACATCCACGAGCACCTGGCACTTCAGGGACAGGGACTCCAGCCTCGCAGAAGAGCAGGGGTTTAGGGTTTAGGGTTTAGGGTTTAGGGTTTAGGGTTTAGGGTTTAGGGTTTAGGGTTTAGGGTTTAGGGTTTAGGGTTTAGGGTTTAGGGTTTAGGGTTTAGGGAGGGGCAGCTCGGCTGAAGAGCTTCGGCTCCAACTCTCTTCCCCGTAAACAATAGAAAGCCCTGAAACCTTAAACTTGCCTTAAACCTTGCCTTGAACCCTCAAACTCTTAAACCCTTGAAAGCCTTAAAATCCTTGAAAGCCTTAAACCTTTAAGCCCTTAAACCCTTAGAAGCCTTAAACCCTTGAAAGCCTTCAACCGTTAAACCCTTAAACCCTTAAACCCTGAAACCCTACAGCAAACCGTGCGGGCTGAGGCCGCTGCGAGCCCATGGCTTGACGTTCCTGAAGACACAAAGTCTTTAAGGGGGTTTTAGGGTTTAGGGTTTCGGGTTTAGGGTTTAGGGTTTAGGGTTTAGGGTTTAGGGTTTAGGGTTTAGGGTTTAGGGTTTAGGGTTTAGGGTTTAGGGACAGCTGGAAAGGCGGGTGGGGCAACTCTGAAGGCTCTCAAGGGAGCGTCCTGTAGCTGCGAACCCTTCGGTAGTATCTCTTTCTGCAGAATTGTACATCTGTGCGCATGTGAACGCCGAAACACTCATTGTTGCTCAAGTCCCCGAATTTCCTGAGACCCAGGCCGGCCCGGTTGGGACTTCCACCTTCCCCATCTTGTTCCGCATCCTTGCAGCTTCATCAGCTTCAGAAGGAGAGTGAGTACCACTTACATAGAACGCCGTGACTGGCCTGGGTGGCGGCTTGTTTTTTCCATCTTCCTTGGCGTCGGGTTTGGTGCATCCAGGTTACTGTGCACTCATCTGCTGCTCTTGGCACGCTTGGCCCGCAGCAAACTCAGATTCCGATTCCGCTTCAGTGCTGGGCTTTCTCTTGCCTCGCCTCATGTCCTCACGGTGGCACAGGAGAACCTCGCGAGCCATCTTGCCCCGACGCGTCGCACCTTCTCCTCCTTTGCCTCCTTGGCCGCATCCAAGAATTCTTCGCCCAGATCCTGCACTTGGCCGAAAACCCTAAACCCTAAACCCTAAACCCTAAACATGGGGGCAACCTCGAGGTGCTGTACTCAAACCCCAGAGGGCCATGAGGATCTGCGCGTGTCGCAAGCCCTTTGCTAGCTCCAGCAGCTTGTTCATGTGGTAGGCGAAGAAGTTCCCGGAAAGCTGTCGCCTGAGAGCTTTCTGAGAGCTGAAAGGATGCTAAACCCACTGAACTGGCTAAGTTCGACCGCGTCATGCTGGGGGCAGCAGCAATGCCCCGGAGTTGCCGACGACGAGCAGAAGCAGCGCCTCTCCGAAGGCAAGGAGATCAAAGAGTGAACCGACACTAAAGATACTGCGTGCTGGCCAGAAGCTCCAGACCGGGCACAAGCTGTGCCAGTAGGGTCAAGTGGGTGTACAGGGGGCACGGCTGAACATTGAAGTCGCGCTCAACAAAGCGACGCCAGCCTGCAACGCTGCGTTCATCACGCGCCCGCCCATCACCTTGACAGCCACATGTCATGCATCCCAAGGCCGTCACATGCCTGGACATGGACAACCAGAGGGGCCCACTGTATCCATGTGAGCAAGATTGAGCAATATTCAATATTGAGCAATCAACAGCACTTCTCTCCACCACGGGGCACGTGCGCGCGGGGGACATGCGCGCATGTGAAGCCCGAAGCCATCCAACAAGAGAACATCCGAATCCAAGCACAACCCTGGCCTCCTTGTCGACGAGCTTCTGCCAAGCCTTTCGAGAGAAGGGTTTCCATGGTGTTCGGGTTGCGAAAGATGAGAACTGCGGCTGAGACGGAGGGAACAAGCACTTTGAGGGAAGGATGCATGGTCGCTTCAGGGAGTGGTGGGGGTTTTGGGCTGTTAGGCTGTTAGGCTGTTAGGCTGTTAGGCTGTTAGGCTGTTCGGCTGTTAGGCTGTTCGGCTGCGATGTCAGGCTGGATGTTGTGATACGAGGCGTCGAGGTTTTGCTGGCATCCCAAGCGACACGAGCGACCATCACAGCTTCCTGCCACGGGTGGACCCCTTGGAGCAAGTCTCCAAAGCCCAAAAGAACACACACGGGAATCGACGGCAATTGTAGTCGGAGCCGATCTCGGACTGGCACGCGCCACCCAAAAGTTACCGAGCACGCAAACTGCCCGCAAGTGGTCATCAGGTGCTGCCGGCAGCAAGTCCCCTCCGAACTGTGCGAGATGTTCTGAGGCCCCAGCAGCTCGTAGCTCAAGGTTGGCCTGCACCTTCATGATTCGGTCCTGTGAAGGTCACTGATTTGGCATGCCATGTGAGAAGATGCCAAAGTACAAAGAGGGATCCTTGAGGCCCAACTTGGCGGAGGAGAATGTGTTCACCTCACAAGCCAACACCTACACGACTCGCCCTCTCTCCCACAAGCCTGCAAGCGACTCCCTTCAGGAGATTCCATCACTCTCTATCTCTCTGCTTCTGCTGCACTTCCCCCCTTTTACAGGGAAGGGCCCCCAGCAGGCGCGCGCTCTCGCACCAGCCCGAGTTCCACCTCCTCCTGTCTCTGGCGCCTGGGCACACTTTTGCACTGCTGCGACGTCTGCTCTCAAAGCCCTCGAATCAAGGGCCAGGGATGCTGCTTGATTTCGGCTTCCTTCACCTTCTCCTCTGGCATTTCGATTGTGTGGGTCTTAAGGCATTCCCCCGTGCAGACATGTGCAGAAGGTCAAGGGGGCATCCATGGTCCTGCATCATCATGTGCGCCTTGTTTGCACAGCTTCGAACCTGCTCCCCCCGAGAGAACCCCCGCCCCTCCCCAAAGTCAAGAGCCTCGTGCCCAGGGCCTCCTTCATGTGCAGAGTCAAGATGTCCACAATCGTTTCCATCCTCGGCATCGGCAACCGAAGGAGCTTCCGACCCCGACTCGGGCTCAGACGGGGCTCGGACGCACCTTCCCGGCAAAGCGAGTTCTGGCAGTCCCGGTGGGCCTTGACCCGCACCTGGGGTGCTCTCCGCGTTGCTGATCAAGCAGCTGGGCCGGCCAAGTCCCTGGAGATTCTTCTGAGCGCCGGGGCCGGCCTCAGGTCTCCGGACTTCGCCGCCGTTCCGGAGCCTCAGAGCACTGCACTCGCACCAAAAACAGAGCGAAGAGCCAGGAGATCACATGATCCGACACAAAGTGCCTTGTGCTGGGCGCCAGGGCACAGATGCCCAATAAGCAGGCATCCCGCCTCGGAAACCTCAGCACCTCGGTCTCCAGAGTCACGGAGTGGGACCCAAATAGGATTCTTAAGCAGGGTCATCTGAAAAAACACCTTGATATTGTGACGTCTCCAAAACTTAGGGTGCAAAGAGGGTTTTTATAAAAACGCTCAATGGGATTCTTAAGCAGGGTCATCTGTAACAACCCTGATATTGTGAGGTTGCCAAAAATTAGGGGGCATCTTCTTGGGGTCCTGATTAGAAGGGACTCCTACTACTAGCATGAAACTCGCTCTTGTTTTCTGCTACTCTATTAAGCCTACAAGGGAATTTCCCAAAATAGGGGTACTTATATCCTCAAGAGAATAAAATCCCCTTGAATGGACCCCCCAAAAGCGTACCCCCCCCCTTTCGGAAACCCCCATAAGGTAACTGTGTGGCCCTAAACCCTAAACCCTAAACCCTAAACCCTAAACCCTAAACCCTAAACCCTGGTTCTCTCTGAGCCAGAGTTGAGAAGCCGCGCTGGCCACGTGGCGCTCCATGGATCGCATGATGAGCTTCACATTGTCCAGGTTGTCCCTCTGAAGCGCCTGCTTCAGAGAGTCGGCACTTGAGGGTTTAGGGTTTGGGGTTTAGGGCTTAGGGTTTAGAGTTTAGGGCTTAGGGTTGAGGGTTTAGGGTTGAGGGTTTAGCCCGGATGTGTCAGTGGTAGAGCGCAGGTTTCTGGAGCTAAGAAACCGACCTTTGCAGAATGAAAAAGCACACTGATAATTATTTGGCTGGACCGCTGGACCCACGCACTTCGTGCAAACTCCAGATCGGAAGAGTCCCCTGCTGATACGCCGATACCTCGATACGCTGTTACGCCGACCGGAGCGAGGGCGCAGAACGGCGTATCGGTGTGGGTGTGTCGGTGTATCTGTGTGTGGGGGCTACCACTCTGAACATTGGAAAAACCCCTGGTCGGCCCAAAGTCTCCGAATTCGCAACCCCCATCCCGCCTCTGCTGCCAGCGGAGCATTCTCTACGCTGGCCGCCAGCAGGCGCACCTCGGGTTTTACAGACTGCTTGAGGGGAAGGGGCGGGAGGGGAGGGGGGGGGGGGGGGTTTGGGAGTTTAAGGGGCGCTTGAACCCCCAAGCCCCCAGATGCGCAACTCCCGGTGCTCCATGAAGATCCGAAACAACGCCTCTCTCGGCCGCGGGCCACGTGTGTGACGATGTTTGCGTCCTTGGCTTCTTGGGACTCGAGGTTGACATGCACAAATAAGACAGCCAAGAGAATCACTCCTTGCCATTGCCCAAAACCACGGATGGGCACCGCACGTCTAGCCTGAGCATCATCATGTGGCAAGCCTCACAATGCCCAGGCTGCGTGTGCTGTCATGCGTGCTCCCTTCTCGCATCCTTCATGATGAGTCTGTGGCATGCCGCGACCCGCCCATGCGAACAAAGGCCAGCTGCAAGTCCACCTCAGCACAGGATCAGTGCCACAGCCACGGAGCCCTGAGCGATCAGAGCGGCTGAGGTTCGGTGGGTGAAGGCTTGCAGCCGATGGGGAGGACGGGAGTCGGGTTTTTTGATCCTGCAAGGTCCGCACACCATCTTTGGGTGTTTCCTCGGCCCGGCGACTTCGTTCTGCATCTACATAGACCGTCAGGAGGTCATTGCAGATGTCCTGACGGCAAGGGCTCCCTCAAGCATCCGTTGTGTGCTTCCGTTTGCTTTGCAAGAACCGGGGGATCTTACGAAGCTCCGGCGAGCTCCAACGTTACAGGTGCCACCTTGCCGGGCGTTTCAGTGCGTTGTGGAATCTGCAGAAACCAATCCGCGGAAAATCCCGAGAGCACTTTCTCGAGTTGCTTGCAAAGAAGGCCAAGGTATCGCCGGTATCGCTTCGATCTGTCCACCACCTCTACAACACCGAAGCCACCAGGCTTCGCCGTCACCAAGGGTGGTGCTCCTATTCTTTGGTGCAGTTTGCCTCGTACCAGCACGGTCGCAAGTACGAGCATGGATGCACCATCTTGGGGATGGGATCATGATGGCAGGAGAGGTCGTACAACGAAAACCCCCTCAAAGCCTCGATTTCGTCGGCCCCGCGATCTTGGCCGAGACCCAGGAAGCCTTCGAGCTGCGGCTCCTGAGCCATGACACACACACACACCCACACACACACACACACACACACACACACACACACACACACACACACACACACACACACACACACACACACACACACACACACCACACACACACACACACACACACACACACACACACACACACACACACACACACACACACACACACACACACACACACACACACACACACACCTATCACCTCCCTCTCTGATATGCCTCTCTGATGCGTCCCCCTCTGGAATTGCAGCTTGGGCTCACGAAGAAGGCGGTCCAACCTGGCCCAGATTTCAGGTGAAAGCAAAGATGCAGCAGCACTCGTAGCCATCCCTCACATTGCCCTGAGATTGGGGGGGGAGGTTCAGGGACGAGGGACGATGGCAGCAATGACATGGGCTTTAAACCCGGGAAAACCACTCAAGCGATGGTGGCCTTTCACGTGAAGTACAACAATGGAAGAGACCGACGACAACACCAGGTGATTCAAGAGAGTGTGATTTCGGTGTAATGCTTCTGTCAGTCTCGTACGGCAGTGGGCACACGACTCTTGCTCCCAAGCCCAAGGCCTTTGGGCCAGTCTATCTGCAGCCAGCTGATGCTCAGGCACCTACATGTCTGTCGGCTGAAGGAAGGTCAGTCGGTTGCCGATTGCTCTCTCATTGCTCTTGAGTACCGAACGCGGGGTTGCTGGCAGCTAACGAGTATCTGAGGTCTCTGTGCTCTCTCCTGCAAGTCCACGCTGGGTGGTCCTGGGCCCTAAGGACGGCACCCGCCGGCTCATCTCCACGCTCAACCTGAGCATTACAATGCTGAGTCCGAGTCAGGGTGTGTGAACTGCACTTCTTGGTGCTTAGGCTCGCGATCACCTGAAGGCTCTTTGCTGTGGTGCAATGTAAGGCCACCTCGCCACCAACAGAGCCGCTGGAGCGGCTTCACTAAACCCTAAACCCCAGGACCCTAAACATTCTGAAGTGCAAAGGCATCCGATCTCTTGCAAGGCACTGCAAGAAGGCGGACCTAGAGTCCAGCAGCTCAGAATCACGAGTTCTCCTACTAATTGGGCCTAGGAGGAACCCGACCAAAAGCCACGGCAAAAGCCTGCAAGGGGCGAGAACAACGAAGCCTTGCCAAAAAGCACATCCTCTGGCACCCAGGGATGGAACCAAAGGCACATATCATACCCAGAAGGCCTCAGACCTGTTGGGGGCCATCTCAGGAGAGGCGTTGTCTTTGGGCATCCTTCTGAGTCATGATTTGCACAAGCGAATGCAAATGAATATCTTAACACATCAAGCGACGACGTCCACCAAGCCCAGTAGGATCATTCACTTACCGTTCTTCAGCCAGGTAACAGCAAGCAGGACAAGGCCATGCGATCAGGTGACGCCATGGCACAAACTTCGCCTTGGGATGGAAGGCTGCAAGAGGAGTCTGTCCAGCGAAAGTTGCATTCTAGGCCATCGTCAATCAATTGCAACTTTTTGAGACACATGTGCGAAGTCGAGTGTAGACATGCGATCGTATCCGACAAGAAGCGCGCGCCGTACGAGTCTCTTCGGGCTTAGGGTTTAGGGCTCATGTCTGATCTTCTTGGGGCTGAAACTGCTGGAGGCTTCCGGATACTTGCAGACACGTCACTGCGAAACGCGTCGTTCAACAGTGTCCAAGCCAACCTTATGCGGATGGCTGTCTTGATCACAGCATCCAGGCTCCAAATCCACATACTCATGAAACCAGGAAGGATCCCCTGCTACCTTACTACGACTACGATGACAAGTGCAGCCGCATCTTCTTTGATTCGCGTCTTCGATACTCCACAACAAGCGCTGACATCATCTAACAAGGTTATATGTGCAACAGGACCCACTCCGGTCGGTGTAAGGTTTTCAGGGTTCAGGGTTTTTGGACTCGAATGCATACTGTGAACATTCTGTCACAACACAGCAACAAGACAGCACGCGGATGCATAACACCACTCCTAGACTGAACGTTCATGAGACAAAGCAGGAAGGTAATAAGCGAAGCTTTCGCGCGAAATCCTGTCCCAGCTGTGGCAAAACATCTGCGATGTACACATATGTAACATATTTAGATTGTAATTAACGTTGGTTATACATGCCAACATTCTGACTAAGAAATTCAAAAGAACCAGCTTGTAATCATTGCTTATAAGGTATATAACAGTATAAAACTATTAGAATACGCATTGACAAAAACTAAATTGCTTGGAAGCCTCTTCAAAAGCAAGCAAAACAACCAAACATCACACGCTTCTGCTCAGTTCGACTTTCCGAAGTTGCAGACACATTGAGATTGAGAATGTCTGTGCCAAGTTGAAGTTCGGCCATTCTTGCGAACACTTGTGGTGGTCGAAGTGGCTACTCTAGCGAGTCTTGCCTCTGCATGCATGTTGTCGGCATGACTTTCGATACGTTACCCATTGTGGTGCAGACATCGAACGGGAAGTCTTCTCTCCCTCGCTCTCCTCCCTTGTTTCCTCCTTCCAATCTGTGAGTTGACGGTTCGGGATCCGTCCTTCAGTACTCACGTTCCTCGGTTCCACTTCATGTTGAACGCAGAGATCGGAATAAACTATACCCGTGTATTTGCTGTGTTGGCTCCCGACTGCAGACGTGAGCCTGCTTCTCTGACAACACCGTTACAGACCAGACTGATTCCATGCGGCTCCTTTTTGTTCGACCCTGCGAAGGGGAGAACGTATATGCATCTTCAAAACCATGTCCAAGGTGGGGAGTGCAAGTCTTTTGCACAGAGATTTCCTGGACTTTAGTCCAGAGGTTGGTAGGATAGCTCTACACTAACATATCCTCGAGCCTTGTTCCTTTGGAGAAGCCGAATACAGATGCAGGAGTGATCGTCGCCACCAGTCAATTTCTGGTCATCGAAGACGGCCGAGTTGCCTTGCCGCAGAACTTCTCGAAGAGGAATATCACACTGGCCGATTGCATCGTCCGAGCTGAAAGTATCCGCGTCCCAGACGCAAAGGCGGAGAATGTCTACTTGCGGGTTCCGAACATTGAGCATCAGCGTCTCATCCCAAACAGGATCCGCACAGTTCTTGATGGATCTTGTGCGGACACGCTGCTGCCCACCGACGATCTCCACCACCACATATGGATCGCTCTCCGTGGTGAGATCCAGCGCAATCAGCTGCCGAGCGGACTTCACCCTGACCATGACCACGCCACAGAACTGAACAGACGCAACCGTTGTGGCCGAACCGGAGAGACTTGACTCCACCAACTTGCCACTACCGTTTCTTGTGAAGCTTCTCTCTTGGTATTTAGAGCGAACGAAAATGTCCAGAGCCTCAGCGAAGTTGATGTACTTCACACCTGATTCTGCAGGCTTACTGTAACCTTCAGGAAGTCTGTGCTCCATCTCGTCGTTGACTCGACCGTTTCCAGTTTGGAGCATCCTGTCGTACTCCGCACGATCCCATTTGTCCAGTGTCAGCGACAGCACCCGGCTGACATGCGTGCCCAGGCTACGATGCCGTCCTGCTGCGTGAGAGCATAGAACGACGCCGAAGGTTACCGAAGCCCAGCTTGGTTGGCTGCAGGAAGCACAATCTGCACATCTGTCATTTCCTGGGACAGCGAGGACCGCAGCAACCTCCTCAGCTGTGAGGAGCCGTGGCCAGTCGTTCGAGGGTTCGCCAATCTCCTGCAGCTGAACGCCAGTGACGTCCATTGACTGCTTGAGCAAGTGACGTGTTTGACGTGCTGCGTGCTTTGCTGCGAGGTTGCTGCTGAGATGGTCTGCGGTTCAGAGTTGACGTTTCGGGTCGTCTCTGACAGGGCACTTACTCCCTTACGTCCCTTCATGTCCCTTACGTTTGCCACGCTGTCATGTTGGCTGAAGCCACAGGATGCAGGGCTCGAGGAGCGGCATAAGAAAGGTGGAGCTGTGCCTGGAATCCCAGTAGCCTCCACTACCTTCCTCCCAAGACAAGGTCCCCTTAACAGACAGCCCAAACTACCATAATCGCCAGAATCCTTGCTGTAGGACCTTAAACTATAGGACCCACCATAGAACCCACCAAAAAGGGCACCCCCATCGGAAACCCCCCTGCACTTGCAACTTCTGCTTCCGTGCTAAGGTCAGGTCGACAGGACTGGTGCATCGGTGGCGTCACTGCTCAGCAGCCAGGCAAACCTCATGCAGAAGTGCGCGCCGAAAGGTTTGCAACCGGACAACAGTGTTCACAGGGTTTAGGGTATAATATAGGGCATGATATATATATATATATATGAGAATCGTGGCTCCGGGGCCCTACCCCCCCCCCCCCATGGTATCCCCCCCCCCAATGGTATGCCCCCTCCCCCTCCACCTAAACCTTAAACCCTTGCCCCTAACCCCCCAACCACACCCACACCACAGGGAGGGGGGGGCGCGGACCTTAAACCCCAAACCCGAACCCCCCCCCCAACCACGCCCGCACCACAGGGAGGGCGCGGGGGTATTAAACCTTAAACCCTAACCCCCCAACCACACCCACACCACAGCAAAGGGGTTATTAAAGCTTAAAACCTGAAGCCCCAACCACACCCACACCACAGGGGGGGGGGGGGCGGGGTTATTAAACCTTAAACCCTGAAGCCCCAACCACACCCACACCACAGCGGGGGCGCGGGGGTATTAAACCTTAAACCCTAACCCCCCAACCACACCCACACCACAGGAGGGACGCTTAAACCCTGAACCCACAACCACACCCACACCACAGGTGGGGCGCGGGGGCCAACCCTTAAACCTTAAACCCTAACCCCCCAACAACACCTACACCGCAGGGGGAGGGGGGTGGGGATACCATGGGGTGGGGGGGCGGTGGGCGTGGCAGCCCTGGACCATATATACATATATATATATATATATGAGAAGCGTGGCTCTCATCAAGTGTTGGCCGTGAGCGGTGTGCCACTGAGTTTCGAATTCACAAGGGAAAGCAAGAAAAGGATAGCAGCCTTCTGCAACCACCCTCAGTTGAATGTAAGGAAAAGCATATGCCATAACGGCGGGACCAATTGCAGCTGCTGACATGCAATCACAGCATGGGGCTCCGACTCGGCAAGGTAGGCCTCGTACTTAGGAAGGCACGGTCCCCCCAAAAATTCGGCGAGAGCACGTGAGCCGTTTGTTAGACAGCTCAGCTTCGAGCGTAGGCGGGCGTGAGCTCAACATCAAAGCCCATTGCCCGCAAGAGCACCTCTCAGGGCAGGCACGTTCGACATCCTGTGCAAGGAAGCGAGGCCCGAGTGAGGCCTGCTCATGTGCCACCACATCGTCACGCAGTGCCCAGTATGCCTTCCGAGCTGAGGATACTCAGACTTCAGGCTGGTCCGCAAGGTCTATCTTTGCCTGGCTGTGAGCGCTTCGATCTTTTATTGGGGTTTAGGGTGCAGATGCCTCCATGGGCATACCCTTCTCATCCTGAACCTTCTCCAAGAACACCTCCAAGCACACATGCGCACAGGATGCAGAGCTCTTCGCGAGAACGTCTCGACGAAGCAGCACCCGCACGCCTCAAAGGAGTTCACGATGTCGCGCAGGCGGACTGGGGACTCCCGCACCTAGGCCGCCACAACATCTGCGCGGATGTCTTTGCCTTGGCTTTAAGCACCTGGAGCCCACGAAAGCAGTCCAAGCATGGTGAAAACCGAAGCCGAAAGCCGCGTCTCAAACCCCCGCCTTCGATGCGAGCCAGACACAGGCAATGGCCAGGCGATGTGGGTCGAAGTCACCTCCCGATGTTCAGCGTCGCACGGCCATTGAGTCATGCCATGGGAGCGCTGTAGTGGAAAGAGCGGTTGCGAAAGCGGCGCAGTTCGTGGGATCACGAAACTGCCGGGGCACCTTGCCGCTCAGAGAGGCAGAAGCGCTGAAAGAAGTGGGCCGCGCTGGCCGCCGCAACCTGCGCACAAGAGGTCAGAGGCTTCGCCATGGATTGCTCACAACTGGCGCTGCAGAAGTCTCCAAATATATGTGTATATATATATATGTATATATATATGTATATGTGTATATATCTGTATATATATACATATATATATATATACATATATATAGTTGTCGTGACAGCTGCAACACCACTTCCACTGGGGCTGCCAACCGTATCCATGCCCAGGTCGGAGGCCACGGACCACATGAGTCTGCCCCATTGTCGCCTGGGCCCGGGCAAGCAATGCTTGGATTTCATGCTCGGTCTTTCTCTTCTAGTAGTCCTATCTAGGGCCTCAGGTATGACCTTGCTGTGAGAAGAGGCAATCCTGTCCTCAGGGAAATCCGTAGCTTATCATTTTTCGGGCTCCCCTTTTCAGAAGGTTCCGTGTCGAATAATAGTAAGACGGTTCCGGAGTTTAGGGCGTGCACTGTCAGTCTGGAAGTGTGTCGTTACGCACTGCGTAGTTCTGCATTGTTTTGCCCATCGAGCTTGCACAAGTGCCGCACACCTGAACACGTGGAGCTCGGGCTGATACAGCAAGTGAGTGGTGTTTCCACGCACAGGGTCCAAAACAGCTATTCATTAGATCTCGCTGTATCTGTCCGAGTAACCCAGACTGGCTACGACATTGCCATGCCCAAGAACTGTTCTGTTCCATAGCAATGAATACAACAACATCTTATCTTTCTCGTTGTTCGTCTGCACGCATGCTTAGACGGAGTAGTCGAAGCAACTGGGTGCTCGTAGTAATGATGTCATTTGTTCTTTCAGCTTCGCATGTTCCATGCGGTACGGCTGAAAACACATGTGGGCCTGTATAGCAACCCCGATGGAAACCTGCTGGTCCCGAAAATGTTATCGTTTTTTGTTTACTCCTTATCGTTTTACAGTGTATGCGCACAAAACACAGTATTGTTGGCTAGAATTCTTATCGTTTTACAGCGTTTGCTTATAAAAGGTAATGCTTCGGAGCACTTGGTTGGCTTGCATTCCAAAGCCTTGGATCTAGGTGCCTTCAACATCGAGCCTACAGCCGTGGGTTTCAGGGTTAATAACACGTGTATATTGGTTACAGCCCCCAAACCTGAACAACCCATCCTGAAGACGCAAGGCTCTTGGTTCAAGCCCAAACCTGCGCGGAAACGCCAGCCACAGCGAGGTTTCCGAGGGCGGTTCACCCGGCGCACAATTCAACCACCAGGCCCCAGAGACACCCCAAGACCAGAGTCACCACAGGGCACACATCTTCAATCCCCCTGGAATGGTCCAGGTCCTTCAACAGACCCCATCGTGAACAAAAAGTTATCGTTCTGGTAATCGTTTTGTTATCGTCTTTGACCTAAAGAATTAGGGGTGTGAGGGGTGTAAGGGGTGTTAGGTGTGTAAGGGGCCACACAACAAAAACCCTGCAGAAAGTTATCGTTTTGTTTTACTCCTTATCGTTTTACAAGCTAAACGATACTCGGGCGCACTCCTTTCTAAACCGCAAGCCGCGGGGTTATTATACAACCCCATGTGGCGAAGACAACGCATCGTCACCTCCAGGAATGACTTCCCTTGATGCGCCCGAGCTGCTCTTTCAAGAGCGGTGTCTCCTGTGCATCTGTCATTGGCTTTCGATGTGCTGGGAGCCATAGCAGCTGCGAAGGTAACCAACATGTTTTCGAAGCTCCGGGAGAATCACGGGCGTGCATACAGGACTTGCGATTGCTCAAGGCCCGGACACGAGAAGGCTTCTCATCCTGGACCGGGAGACCATTTCTGTCACTGCTAGAGATGCTTCCATTCTTCTTTGTTATAGAAACCGTCATTCGCAGTATAGTAGTATAGTGGCTTTGTAGTACAGTAGAAAAGTAGTATAGTAGCATAGTAGTCTAGTATATAGTAGTCTAGTAGTCTAGTAGTGTAGTAGTCTAGTAGTCTAGTAGGAAAATAGTATAGTAGCACAATAGTATCGTGGTATAGGAGAGAAAAGAAAGAGAAGAGAGAGGAGAGAGAGGAGAGAGAGGAGAGAGAGGAGAGAGAGGAGAGAGAGGAGAGAGAGGAGAGAGAGGAGAGAGAGGAGAGAGAGGAGAGAGAGGAGAGAGAGGAGAGAGAGGAGAGAGAGGAGAGAGAGGAGAGAGAGGAGAGAGAGGACAGAGAGGAGAGAGAGGACAGAGAGGAGAGAGAGGAGAGAAAGGAGAGAGAGGAGAGAGAGGAGAGAGAGGAGAGAGAGGAGAGAGAGGAGGGAGAGGAGAGTGGAGAACAAGGAGCGAGAGGAGAGAGTAGCGAGAGAGGAGTTCGAGGAGAGACAAAGGACGGAGAGACGGAGGAGAGAGAGAGAGCGAGAGAGGAGATGTGTGTACTCTGTGCGTGTAGGTTGTGTTACTTTGCGCTTGTGTGTGTGTGTTGTGTGCGCGTCTGCTGTGCGTGTGTGTGTGTGTGTGTGTGTGTGTGCCTGAGAGCAAGGCGAACGAAAGCTAGGGCCCCGCAAGGCGGCACACGGCCGGTGTTGTTCGGCAGGAAGCGCTGTCGAAAAGCATGTGAAATGGCATGAAGGCTTAGGGTTGAGGAAATAAATTGGCTTGCCAGCTTGCAGAGCACCAGTGTTTGGAAATGATCTACCTTCCTCATCTATGTGGTGGGTAGCTTCAGATACCGGAATGATCTTGCAACTGCCAGCCCCGCTGGGGTTCATGCAAAACCATGCAGAGCTCTTACGCAGTTCATGCTGGCAACCGGCTACATCGAATTCCGTTACCGCGAGCATTTACACCAGAATCTTTCTATGGTGCCTTCCATATGATGCCAGTTTTGGAGCACCCTAGGCCCTATGCGACAGCACATTCCCTTCAAGCTTTGAGGCACTGCACCTCGGGCACTCGCAATCAAGTATGGAATTTGGCCGGAAAGATGTCTGATGCTTTTTTCAATAAAAGATCCCTTTCAACAAGATCTGGTCCATTTCAAGTCGACGACCATTGCGACATCCGGCGGATTACAGACCACCATCAGCTTCATCTTCGGCATGAAGCGACTCCGTCCAACATTCCGATCATCACCAAAGGACCAGATTCATGAATGCTACTGCATATATTTGCCACGCTGTCACCAAAGCATGTGTTTACTGAACAGCTCACGACCACAGTGAGTTTCTGTCGGGACGCAGAAAGGGCATTCTCCATGGCTCCATTGCTCCTCTCATCTTTGCAGTTGGCGGTTCGCACAAAACGTTCTGCCTCAGCATGTGTTAGTTGGAGACCAGCTGCTTGGGCCATGGAACTTCTGCAGCGTATTGCAGCGTCACGGATATGACATTGCACAGCTTCGCGGACTATATAAATGATTATACATGATCAAAGAATGCAGATGAAACCTTGGAGAAGTGTGTCGTCGTGGCCATACTGTACACAATCAAACTTCCTCAGTTGCCGGTGAATGTCACAGACGAATTGGTGCTACGACGTCCATTGCGCCCCTCCTACCAAGCGAAGAGCAATTCTATGAACACTCTTTGCAGAAGTCTCATGTCAAGAAAGTGTGGCTGATCCATCATTTTTGGCTACTGATGCCCTAAGCTCGAGACGCATTGATGCTTGCAGGGTGAATCAGCATCTAGTGCGTGGTACTTTCCCAGTTTCTGGGAAAAAGCTTGCATGCGCGCACCAACGTTTCTGTCTTGACAGACATGCAATTGATGTCCCAGAAGCTATCATGAGTGTATTGCATTGAAGCTTTCTTGAAGCATCGGCCTTAGCATGTGCCGGTTGGAAACCAGTTGCGTCGACCATGGACGTTCTAAAGCTTCATGGTGGTTGGTGTGTGTGTGTGTGTTATACAGTGGTGGCTGGCATGATTGGCAGCATTGGAACACATGAAATACACATCCGTCGCAGTGGCACTGAAGGAACAGCAGTTCAAATCCTTGCGTGCAACGCTGGTGTGAGCGCGCGCGCGCGCGCGTGTGCGTGTGTGTGTGTGTGTGCGCGCGTTTGCGCGTGCGTGTGCGTGTGCGCGCGCGTGCGCGTGTGGGCGTGTGCCCGTGCACGTGCGCGTGTGCGCGTGTGCACGTGCGCGCGTGTGCACGTGCGCGCGTGTGCACGTGCGCGTGTGTGCACGTGCGCGTGTGTGTGTGTGTGTGTGTGTGTGTGTGTGTCTCTGTGTGTGTGTCTCTGTGTGTGTGTGTGTGTGTGTCTCTGTGTGTGTGTGTGTCTCTGTGTGTGTGTGTGTGTCTCTGTGTGTGTGTGTGTGTGTGTCTCTGTGTGTGTGTGCGCGTGTATTCGCAAACCCTTGAACCCCAAACTCTTGAAGCCCAAAGACCATGTCTCTCGCCTTGCGCTCGGCCGCAAGGCAACGAGACATGGCCACGCAGAGCTGCAGGCAGACCTGACGAAGAATTTACGGTTGCTGGGCAGCTTCACGGTACTTTCTAACCAAATAGCAACTGCACTTAGAACCCTATTATGGTTCGGGCAATTAAGGGACTCATAAGTGCGAAATAAATACAGTTCTAATTGGTTACTAAGTGCCACGGACCTCCAAGTGGCCCTCAAAAGAGCCCTTGGAAAAGCTTGCCGGCTCCCATGAAACTCGATCTTTCGGCCTCCTGCGCGGTACTTCGGCAAAAAAAAAAAAAGGACATTGAAACGCCATCCATAGGAGGCATGTCTGTAGACAGATCCTGCCACAATAAGTTTAAGAAATGAAATAGAAGCATGCAGCTGCAAGTTCATGATCTGCCTCCAAATTCATTCAACTCCGGTGGGTTAGCCTCTCTGCAATCTCTGCTCCACAGATTTGCTGAGACACCGTGAGCAAATGAATGCAAAAGCTAGTGAGTCACCATCCGCCAGTTCAGTTCTGAGCAGGTGGAAACCGCCCTGCAGCCTAGTGCACGAGCCGACGCACACTGGAGATGTTGGACCACGCCAGAGCCAGCTGCAGTCTTCAACCACCCTCATTTGAGATACCGGTTTAGGGTTTAGGGTTTGGGATTTAGGGTTCAGCGTTTAAGGTTCAAGTACAACAGGATAGAGATGGATTGAGTGTATACATAGGATTGCCGGCAGAGGCATGGCACCAACAAGGTCACGGCTGCCTGACAACGTTTACGTTCTTACTCTGGCGCGCAGGGCAGGACTTCAAAAATCAAGGCAGTTACCCTCAAAATCGATACAGTATGTGTAAAGAAATAAGATTAGAACATATAAATATATACAAGCCATGCCAAGCCCCTAAGGCTGAAGCACCTCTCGCAAAACTCCGAAAAGTTTTTAGGACCCCTTTGGGAGGCGGGTCAAAAGGTCATGTGGTCAGCAGACACGCACACACCTCCCTGCTGAAATGGGTCCAAATTGGAGCTGGGTCGAAACTTGACGAACCGCTTGCGCGGATCTCGACCCAGCAGAGCAAACAGCAAAACATTCGATGGCCCCACAGCCGCGTGGACTCCATGCTACTAAGTCGACTGGCTATCGTGCCCTTCTTGAGACCGTGACTCTCCACGTGACCCCAGCTGAGGTTGGTCACACTTGTGCGCCATCCCCTCTGGAGTCAAATATTTGTAGAACAGCGGTCGAATAAGTGCCAGGCTCCACGATTTCAAGCTTAGTCACACACATTGATCAGCAGTCATCGGCTCAAGATGGGGTTCTCAGAACTCTCAGCCAAGAAAATTGAGTTCTGGGGTTCTCCGAGCAGGTTCCAGGAGAATTTAGCCAGTCCCCCCACCGGCCGTTGTCACAGGAGCCTTTACTTGGTCATAGGAGTGCTATCGCCCTCTTTGAAACTGCCGTATGCGAGGATTGGTGAGACGGGAGGATCCCTGATCCATGTTTCAAACTCCCGGGCTTGAGCGGGGCAGCCAAGCTGCAAGATCGGATTCGATCCACTTCTTCTCAGGGGGGTTCTTCCATCGCCAAGAATCTCCGGACTCTTCGGCCGGCTGAACATACCCAAGGCTCTGGCAATAGGCTGCACAGGGCTAAGCAGCTTGTCAGAGAACCCCACAATCCCCATGCTGTCATCAAAACCTCCCCGAGGGTAGAAGGCCCTGCTGTTGTCAGCTGGGCCCTGTCTTGTGATACTCAATGCGGTTCACGGTTCTTTCGGGGGCGGTTTGGGATTCGGAGTTTGGGATGCAGGGTTCAACTACACGAGGCTCGGTCCGCATTAAGCAGGCGGAGTCAGCGCCGGGCTCCCATCATTGAACAAGGCTGAACGACACCAACCTGCGAAGCCCCTTGCCTTTCTTCCCCATCAGCATTGTGTTCAAGGATGGACTCGCGCAAGCCGTCTCCCGATGGGTATGTCTGCCAAGACACACCCAATAGCATGAATCTACGACTGAGATGTGCATCAGAAGAATCTCTCGGAGGCTGCGCCCGATCCACTAACACACTTGACACGGGGCTCTCACATGGCACCCTCGGCACTGCAATGATAAAAGAAGGCCCAGGTCCCAGCCGCTTATAGGCTTATAGGCTTCGGTTCCTGTGCGCATACGAAGTTTCGGGCAAGAGCTTCCAAGAAACCATTCGATGGCTTCTGAGCACTAGCCGCACGAGCTCCAAGCTTGCACAGAAGTGCTGCAAAACATTGAAAGCTTGGCTGGGAAGGACGCTGCATGTTGACACTTGGACGGCACAAACTTCACATTCTTCTTCCAGACTTGTACAGTGGAAGTCGCAGTCAACGCAAGTACTCACATACAATTCACATACAACTACCGGTGGGCTGTGCTTTGCCGAAACATCAGTGTCCACTTGCCCCGCAGTCCACTCGTCTGTCATCCCATGGTTCAAGCGGTAGAGCGGGTCCTTTAGTAGTGGTGCGCCCGATCTATAGTCCGTAAAGTCTGGAATTGGCGCCTATGGCCAGCTCTGCAGACCTTTGCAACTGCAGCTCAGCAGAAGGATTCACGTGGATTAGCTAGCCTGAGTCTCGCTGACGTGCCATGGAGCCCGTTTTTTCAGATTGCAAAGTATCAACCATTCGTGCTGTCAGCGCTGCAGCTGCCAACTACCATTAGCTGGTTGCTGGGTGGAGCTGAGCCAACTACGCTTGAATAAAGTAGTAGACACTACTTCCGCAGCATGTAACCCAGCATCAGCACCACCTTGCATATCAACCTTAAGCACAATTGTGCTGCAGGTGATCTCGTCTCAGACTAAAGCGGAAGTAATCAGACAAGCGAAATTTCCTCGTCCGAGCCACGAAAACACACATGTAAGATCAAGAGCGGGAGACAGGAGACAACGCCTTGTGCTGATTCACTCCGCAGGTCCTACGTACTAGATGTGCGTGACGCCGCAAGCCACTGTGCTGTTCGGTGTGACCGCACTGCAAAATGCCATCCTCCTCCAACTGATATCTCGTTGAGGGCACCATGAGACCCTGTCATGGCTGCAGAAATCGTGTCAGGTGTTTAACTTAATAGCCTTTGCTCAACCCATCTCAAGACAGAACTCGCCAGCCCGGAACGTGATTCAGGAGGAAGCCGTAAGCCATATCTCCGGAGAAAGGATGGAGCAGGGAGAGAGGCGATCCCTTCGCGATGACATACACCACCATCCCTAACCTATGAACGTGTGAGCCAATGTTTCGGCATGCAAAAGCAATGCGACAGGGTCGCCCGAAACTTGACAGACTGCGTTGGAAATTTCACCCCTGGCACGACCCTCTCAGCTCAGCCAGCTTGCGCTGTACGTCACGGACCTGGATCAACATGAGCTGATGTAAGAGGCTGTGACTGGATGTGGGAACAACTTTCAGTCAGCCTTGCGTCTGTTTTCCTGATGCTTTTTCGAGCACGGACATGTAAGCCGACTTGCCGTATGACTCAAGAGCCATGAAAGCAGCGCAATGCATGCCATGGTGTACCAAACCCTTGCCAACCCCTAAACCCTAAACCCAGAACCCGATCCCTGATGCCGACCTTTCACCAACTCGCTGAGGGCCCCTGCATTGCTGGATGTCATGCCATAGCCTGGCAAATATCCATGACAGCCTACGAAGCTTCGAAGGGCTTACTGCAAAATCAGGGCAGCCCCGCAAGAAGCTTAAGCAGGGCCAGACTGCAGCGCTGGGGCTTAGGAGCTTCGATATTCTGCACCCTCTTGCACAATGGAGAACATCGAAAACTCCTAGAACTTCCCGGAAATACAGCGAATCTGCAGGACAAGATGAGTTTGAGTGTGCAGAGACTTGTCAAGACAGGGCGGAGCGGCAGTGAATCACAGACGCAACCACGCCACCGCACGCAAGTCATCGCACACAGCTTCGTCTTCGCCGTCCTGCCTGCCATCATCCAATCACCGAGGCTCTTTGCCACAGCATGACAGGCCGGAATTCTTGAAAGGAAGCGGCGGAAGCCCTTTCAGTGTCCTCTTCTCTGCGAAGTCATGCTCCTCCATCTTTGCGAAAGGCTCCTGTTGCCCAACAAGGTTCGGTTCCCCTGCTAAAGCCAGCAGAGCCGGCAGGAACCCTCTGTGAAGATGTCCACATGTACAGCACATGAAAGATGAAAGCTACAGGAGGCCCCCTGATGCTGCTGATGCTGCTGATGCTTCAATGCAGCATGTTCGGACCCCCAGCTCGCCCGTGCTGGTCGCGGGACCACAGGGGCACTTTCTGCAAGTGGCATGGTTCGGCCGGCACGGCCTGCCCGAGAAAACAACGGTCTCTCAAGTTGCAAGGGAGATTAGCGCCCTTGGGGACCCAATAGTCTGCACTTCGTAGCCCCTTGTCTACTCTTTCTCATACTTCAGTGCTCCGAGATCGGTCCAGGTCCAAGAAATCTACCGGCTGTTCCACTGGCTCTGTTGCCCCACTTGCGCTCGCAGCGACGATCGTCTGCACTCTGCAGCACTCTGTAGGGTGACTAGCGCCTACTCTCAGCACAGCTGCAAGGTATTTATTTTGTCGCTCAAACATGCGGAACAAAAGAAGAGCCGCACTGCCTTCGATGAAAGCCTGCATGGTCTGTAAGGTTGAGCCCAGTGAAAGGATTTGCTCGCTCATCGCCAGAACCTGGCGAACCACTCAGTGGAACAGAAAAAGGGGAGGATGAGAGAGAGCCAGCGAAAAACAATGCACACGCCAAGCGCCGCCAAAGTCAACAAACTCTGGCCTCTTGTTGGGTGAAGCCCATCTTCGGCGGGCACTGGCAGGCATTTAGCGGGCGATGTGCAAACTGGCAGAACGAGTCCGGATGAAAGTAGCTCCCTGCCCCCCAGAAAATGCCTGCGCAGACCCAAAACAGCGAGACCCTGTGAGCCCGGAAGTCCGCATGTCGCGAGCCCCGACGTCCAAAAACTGCGACAGCTTCGCATTTGGCGAACACGGGTGTCCGAAGCGATGACAGCTTATCACTTTGCCGAACCCAGACGTCTAAGCGCGGTCACACCCATGGCTACTTAAGCCAGAGCGAGATTTTACTCCAACAAGCAGAGGCTTTTTCCTGAGAAAATCGCATTGCCCGGGCCGCGCGTGCGCCGCGGGTGCCGCGCGCGCGCGCGCCGCTCGATCTAGCCCCTCTTACCGTTACACGGTGTCTGGGGGAAGGATTGAGGCAGTTCAGCAAGTGGCCGGATGAGGGACTCGTCAGGTCGTTGCTTAATGCTGCTTCGTGTTTGCTGTTGAGTGTGCACCACCCGGCCTTTCCAGCCTGGCCTGCCTGCAGCCACTGCTCAGCGGGAGAGGCCTGACAACAATCGCCGCCACTCCACGGTTTCAACGCCATGCTGTACTGCTCCAAGTAGTCCAAAAGCACCCTGCATTCCCCCCCCCCCCCCCCTTGATAACTTCAGCGAAACCTGGTTCGGCATGGACTCCAATGGTCCCAATCCTGGAGGTGCACGTGGGATCCTGGCTCCGGTCCGGTCCGGTCCGCGGAGGCGACTCACATCGAGAATCTTCCACCTACTCAGGCCCTACTCTGCCATCTCCTCAAAGCAGCTACTTCATGCTACTTCTCGACCCCGGCACATGGCTCCTGGCAGCTTGCCTTTTGGCCTTCGCCTCGCAAGGCTCCGAAGAATCCGTGTCAGACCCCATCCGCCATGTGCACCACTTGTACCAAAAAAACCCAAAGAGCTTTCATCCCCCGCATGCTGCTCAGGCCGCCTTGCTGTTCTGCTGGGCTGCAACTTCATGCATGACCTGCTGCATATGCTCATACAATGGTTTACACTTTCTTCCACGATTCATGAGCTGTATGCTGGTTCGGGAGGCACGTGCCAAGCCTCATTGCCCTTCGCACGAAGAGCATTTCGAAGCACACTGATTTCCTGAAGACAGCGAGAGACACCCGGGAACGACGACAACGACCACGACCACAGCCACAACAGCCACAACAGCCACAACAGCCACAACAGCCACAACAGCCACAACAGCCACAACAGCCGCAACAGCCACAACAGCCACAACAGCCGCAACAGCCGCAACAGCCACAACAGCCACAACAACAAAAGCCACAGCAACAACACAAGAAGAGCCACAAGAAGCACAAGAAGAATAACAGCAAAAACAGCAAGACCACACATCCAATGTCCTTCGGCGCAGATCGTTGCTTGGCAGCTTTCTTGGACTGCTTGGGCGCCTGGGCTTGGGCCTTGGTGGCAATCCCTGCACGTCTTTGATGTGCGAGCTCGAATGCAGGCGAGGGACAGTCTGGGGAGGTTTGGTCTTGCCACCTCAGCACGCTCTGTGCATGCAGTCTGCAACAAGAAAGAGGGCAGTCCATCTCCGTCTTGTCCCCCTATGCCTGAGCTTCCTGCCACGAGAGGTATTGGAAGGCTTCTCCTTCTTGTCTGCCCTCGTAGGCACAGATTGAACCTGCCCAAGAGCACTGAGAGCACTCCGAAAGACCAAAATTGCGACGTGGTCTGGGCCTCTGGGTCAGAGGAGCCGACATCAGTGGACAGAACATCATCAGACGAACTGCCAGTCTTCACCAAACCTTGGAAGTAGTCTGCAGCATGTGTGCGCGGAACATGCACGAAACACATATCCCTCCTCTCTGCTCCCTTCTGCGTGCAAGAAACCCGGCTTCAAAGGCAGGGGAGTCTCGGAAACAGTCATCGTAGCAATCGGTAGACCTTGGCGATGGAACGCACGCCCAATCTGTGACATAGCCTGAAGAAAAGCAAGACACGTCATAGCTGTACGCTGCACCAGGTCGCTGAAAAGCACGTGCACACGGTTTTGGCAAGGCTGTGACTTCTCAACGCACTCAGGCACGAGCCGACTGTCAAGAGAGCCGATTGACACCGAGAGCAGCCAACAATCGAAAAATTGTTCACAGCCAACTGGCCCGGGCGGTCTGGGCCACAACGCTACGGTGTGCCATGTGGTTTTTGGTCTTTTTTCAGAGGCCAACACAACAAAGACAAAGCAATATGCAAGCAGGGAGAATGGCGAGAGCACGGTCATCGCTTGCCCTGAACATTGACGGCAGACCGTTCAGACCTCAAGCGACACACAACGCACGGAGGCCTGGCGTGAAAGCCCCGAAAGCCGCTGCAGAGTGTCGATCCTGGGGGGAAAATGTACGGCGGACGAAGAAGGCACAAAACTTCACAATCTCAGCAGGTTTGACAGGATGAGTGAACGCCCTACACCCGATTTTTAGTGACCGGAGGCTCGGACCAAGCACAAACAGTAAGACCTGTGAGAGCAAGTACAAGCTCCGGCTGTATCCATCCCTGGTTTTTTTTGGGCCTGCACTTCCTCGGAAAAAGCAGAGAAGAAGCGAGGTGGAATCTTAAAGGGCTCAGAGCATCCACTATCGTCTATGTTCCCTACCTTTCAAGCGGCCAGTGTGCTGCGGCATGTCAGAAAAGCCTGCGAAACTCAACATGGCACCTCTGCAGATGTCCCCCTTCCCTCGAAAAGTCACGGGACCCTCCACGAGCAAATCAGACAGGCCACCATTCTCGCAGGTGGCTTACGCTCCCCACACCTGAGTGCACAGCGCCATAGAGTATTTCCAGAATACCTGCACAACAAGCTCCTCAGGCCAGGGCGGCCCGAGCGCCACAAATCTCGAATGCTTTTGATGATGCCCTTCACCTGTGTTCCCCACATAGGGCCCAACAGCGCCCACGGACATTGGTTAAAGGTCAAAAACTCCACGTCTTATGCACCTGCTCTGGGTGACTCGACCTACGCCGACCCGAGCTTTCCCGACAAGTCGTGGTCTACAGCTTGCTCACAATCGAACCAAACACGAACCCAACCATCACCCAGGTCTTCGGCCGTGCCTCCTTGAGCCGTTGTGCGGGGACATCGCTCAAGTCCCCGTAAACCTCCTTGCCTTGTCAAGCTCTGCATAGCCCAGCATTCGAATTCAAGCCCTGCAACTTTCTCACCTTGCTGGCCTTTCGGCGTCCCAGACCTCAAGCATGCAACTTTCTGAGACACATACAACACTCATGGAACACTCATGGAAACTCGCGTGTTCCATCAGGCCATCACTGGGGTGGTGTTTTCGGCTCCCAAGCCGATGTCAGCGCTGGTCCGGAAGACTGCAGTTGAAGGTCTGGGGCCTATGGGCAGAGACCATCTTTGTACTTGCAAGGATCCAAACAAAAGCCTTGGGCACCGCCCGCAACCCATGCCTCCAGGCTTTGGAAGGCCTGCATGTCTACGCCTCAGAGGATCGGTTGAAACACCCGCTTTTGTGCAAGGCCTGCTGGGTTTTCATGGGGCTTTGGTTCAAGACAACCTTGGGGGGACTGTCACATCACGATGCTGCTGGCAACCTTCCGTCAGCAGCCCTGGAAACAACCGAAACAGCAAGTCTTGTCGAACCTACCATGGCTGATTGGGAGCCCCACCTCGCACAGTGAGCGGAAACCACGAGAAGAACACTGAGCACGCGCCATCTTTCTCGGGCTGCAGGATTAAAGCATGTTCTTGGCTTGTTATCTGATTGCATGGAAAGTAGACTCTTGAAGCTCAACGGGGGGCTCGGGAATTGCTGCAAAGCACTGGACGGCCCAGATACCTTAACGTACTTCTAGAAACAATCGGGCTCCACCGATTGACCATGTTGCTGAAATGTCTGGAACAGTCCACACGCTGGGCCTACTACATGGTCAGCCATGTCCTGGTTGATGCACACACAGCATGATTAGCGAGCTGATGCTCTCACATGTTGCAGGGCTTGCTGGGAAAAGACTGTAAAATGAACCATGTAATTCGTTTAAGCTGACGACCTCTGTGTTGGCTTCGAAAAACACTAGAGAAACCTCGCCCATGTTTGGGCCATGGACAATTAGCCAACCCCCTAGCATTGACTTCTCACGCAGATGTACTCCCAGCCTATCAAACTAAGGATTGCACATGTCGAACGTGCGAAGCCCTAAAGCATGCGCACTGCGACTCTTTCGATGTCTATTTTCGCAAGCCATGCTGCTACTGAGGGACAATTGCAGTGATGAGCTTCGGAAACAGGAAAAAGAATACGTGCCGTGCAAAGTGGGGCAGAGAACGTGCCTCTTTTTGTCACTCCGGTGAGCAGATGGGCATTCCCAGAGCGAGGGAACGGCAGACGCGGTCTACTTGCATGCTGAAAGAATCTAGAGCGGTGAGGGCAAAGTAACGACCGTACGATAACTCCATCTAGAAAGCCGACTCAACCCGAAAAGCAAAATACAATTAGCGTGCGATACTAGCTGATAATGGCTTCTAACATACCGGACGATATGCCGCGCATAAATGAAGCTCAGACATGTTCCCCTCCTACGCTTTCGGATTGTTTTCGTGTGTGAAACATATGAACATGGAATCATCACATGTGCAGGTCCTAGGCCCCAGATACTCCAGAAACGCGTGCACAACAAAGCGTTCATTCATGCACTATTCATCCTCAGCACACTGAAGGTTTATCAAAGCATGCCCAGACGATGTCAAAACGATGTACAGTATCCGTTCACCATATACCATTATCATCCATTCCCTGCCATACATCAATACCATGCATTTGGGCGCGCCAGGCGATGTAGGGAACATCAGCGGTGCAAACTCGTATGCCCACTTCATGACACAAGCTCAAATCCAGCAGTGGCACGTTGGGTGGTGCCCCAGCTGCAAGTACAATGAGGCACAGACTAATATTGCCTATCGGCAATGAAGGTAAGATGCACATGCGCATGAGAAATGGCAGGCTTTGGAGAGTTTTTCTTTCCGCAAAGGTCTCATACAAGCACTGTCCCCCGCCTCCTACTTTTATGCAACACCTAATCCGAGGTGTTGTACGTGAGCATCTTCTTCACACAAATGGTCCAAGCAGACGCGGCGCCGCCACACGCGACGCTCCGCAAGAAGCACAAAAAAAAATACTTCTCAAGCATGCAATGGCTGGTGTAGCCACACAGCAAGCAGCACAGCCACCGCACGCGAACTGGATTGAGGGCACACACCTTTGCTGCTCTCACTCTGACCAAACAAAGGTCCGCGCTCATCAACACCAGCAACAATGTCGACTGTTTTGGCTTTTTGCAAGACTGTCAATGGCATCGCGGAGTTTACGATTATCTTCTTTATCCTTCCACCTCTTGTGGGTCTGCCAGGTTCCAGCTTGGCTCAACGGGCGGGTTTGCTGGACCTTCCGAGGACGCTCTGGTCCAAACAGTCACAGCTTTGCAGTTTTACCTTTCACATGTTGAATCCGATGCGGCAGCAAGCGGAATTGTTGTGTATGTCACCTTTCCAGGTTAAGGCAGGTGCTGGCTTGCCAGGCTATGTACTTCTTTGAAGCGTGACACCTCAAGCGGCGGACCGCTAGTTGCTGCAGCGAAAAAAGGCATCCTGGACAACCACTCGAAACAGTACAGTGGCAACCTGAACGGCGCCTATATGAATAAGTACAGGCCCACCACCGACCGCTTGCCATGCAGCGGTGCATTTTTATTGTCTTATGTCGGGAGCGGTCCTCACGTCGGGCAAAATTTCGGCGAGCTTCAAAAGTGTGTCTTCTCATCAGAAATCGCACAGTTTTTGGCCTTCATTTTGAGGCCAGAAATTGGGTCCCAAAACTGGGTCTGCCTGATTCGAAACTCTTAGAGAAGATCCCATTTCGGGCTTCGCTTGGGGGCCCAAAAATAGGACCCCAGAATGGGCCGTGAAACGTGGCAAGTGTGCTTTCAATTTTGCGGAGACACGCAAAGCATGCACCACATGTTTGGGTCGGGCGCAAAGATAGTCAGCGGTCGCTTGAGACTGTTGGCAATAGCGTTATAACGGAACAAGTATTGCGCATGACAAGCTGAATTGCAACTGCGGGGGCACTCAAACGTGTCCTACGCTTCTTGTGTCTTTCTGGGGTCGGATTTGGCTTCACTTGAGGCACATTCTCCAAACTCCCAGCAAAGGGCCTTACCTTGTCGAAAATCCCTTTCCCCAATGGCAATGTTGCAACACGTTGGTCATATCAGACCGACCTTCGGCATCCAACATTGCCATTGGGGGCTCGGGGGCACACGCAAGAACTTGTGACCGGAGACAAGCATTCCTTTTCCAGGCTCTTCAGGCTCCAAGTCCTTGCGATTTCAAGGTCGCTCTCAAGGTCGGGCTGCGCTGCTTACTGCGTTCTGCAGACCCTGCATGTAACACTGCAGCAACCTGCAGACCCTGCAGACCTGCAGCAAGCATGCAGCAAGCCTGCAGGCCCGCAGCAGCCTGATGTAGCAGGTCAGAGCTTCAAGCTTTCTGCAGACTTTGGAGCCTTCTTTGCAGGTTGCCTGCAGGCGCTGCTGGCCTGCAGGCTGCTGCAGGGCCTGCAGGCTGCAGACCCTGCCTGTAGGCTTGCTGCAGGAGTTTGCAGGCTTGCTGAACTGCAAATTTTGTAGGACAAGCTGGATTTTTCCGCCAGTCTAATTTTATGAAAACAGTACTACACGCTTTGCGCTGTGGGAAAAGCTGGATTTCGCCTCGGGTGTATTTCATCAAAACTGGTACTACACGCTCCGCGCTGGGAAAAACCACAGTGCAACATGAATGCATATTTTTTCAAAACTTTCAGGTTCATGCAATGTTTCTATTTGGAATCAAGGTACTACACGCTGATTCAAATACTCAGGGTTTTTTTAGCAAGAAATGAACTTAAGTTCAAACAATGCAAGGCATCAGCACATGCTGAAAAAAAATGTTTTGTACAAATTGAAACATTTTTGTTTTGAAATTCAAAAACCTACTTGTGTCTGTTCTTCACATTGGCTGAAGGGGCAAGGGATGCCCAATTTGCCCCCTTTAGCCAATATGGTGGAGGGAGAGAAATAACCCTGAAGAGGAGGGAGGTTGGGTCTGCAGAAACTCTGCCTTGAGAATTCCATTTATTTGCATGCTTGCGTTGTGGATCAACAGAAGTTTCACTTTTTTGCAAAAACCTGCAAGAGTTATGGCAAAAACTTGCAATGGCTGCCCGCTGGGAACATAGAGGTCAAGTTTCCATGGAAACTGCGGACGTGATCGCTTCTCCAAAAGTCAAAGCCTTGCTTGTCACAGCAAGAAACGACAGCCTGAAGCTCGAAATGAATCTTCCGCATCTGAAGCCGATGCCTTAAGACCGCAGCCTTCCAAAATGAGGTCCATTTTCGCTCGAAGATCAAGAGGGATAAGCAGAAGAATGCAAGATAATTTGGAAGGCAGAGCAGCCGGCAACGAACAGCGGCAAGCGGACGTACACAGAGATCCGCGTGTTGAGAGTTCTGGCCGAAAGCGGGGACGTTCTGCGGTGTTTGCTCGCAGCGCAAAATCGCAACAGCTTGGATGGCTGGTCAAGCACCATGAGATTACAGCAATTCTCTGCAAGCTTGGATTTGCAAAAACATTCGCGAGAACGTGTGTCTCAAGTGAGAAGAAGGATTGGAAGCTTGAGATCGAGAGAATTCATGTTTGGTGTGATTCCGCAAGTGCAGATGTTCTGAAAGTGTCGTTGCGCAAGACAGAGACTTTTTTTTGCAAGCGAATTTATTTTCGATCTGCAGTTGGTTGTTTGTGGCTGATGTGCACTTTGGAATTGTCTCTGAATCAAGCTGGATTGATGTTGGGCTTGGATTCCAGAACGGTTCGAAAGCAGTGAGATGCTTTTCGAAGTTGGCTGTGCCCTTTGGTGGAGAAAATGAACGAAGAACTGACTGTGGGTGGGCCCGGCATGGATGTTGAAATTGACAAGGTTGCTTTTCGCAGTGCTGGGTTGAACGCTTTAGTTCTTTGTTTGGGCTTCGCTTCATCGGCATGGTCAGACGTGGCTCCTCCAAGATTTACATCGCAAAGCTGAGGTGGTCAAGCTGGTGGAGGCCCTCTCAGTTTGGAAGAGTTGCGCTCCGTCATGGTCACTTCAACTGAAAAGCCACGCTTGGTGTGGCAGCATTTGCCACACCGATTCAGCAAAGGCGTGCAAGCAATTGGACCAGCCAGAGGGGCTCTTGTATTTCAGAACCTTGCAAGGGCGGCAGTTCAGCCAGTTCAAGCTAGCTCACACAAATGTTTGCCACAAGCCTCCGCATCCCGAGTTCACGAAGAATTTCCACGTGAAGTTTTGGAATGGACGTGAGTGGGATGAGAAAGACGTGGTGGGAGGAACGCAGAAGATGGACGGCTTCTTCAGTTCCTTTTGCCGGAAGGTCGGAAGACAGGCCTTCAACACTGTGGGGCCGACTCCCGAGCGTGCGGATGCTTTAGAGAAGCAGCTGAACCAGAAAGTTCGTTTGTTCCAGTTGCAGTTTTGGTTTTCAGGCTCCGATGTGTTTCAAATTTTCGGGGCTGTGCGACGGGCCGAGAGGACCGAGAGCGGCAGTGCATCTTTGGCCGCTCTGTCTGTGTTCCAGCCCATGTTCAAGGCTTCTGCCCAACCAGAGCAGGAGTCGCAGAACGCTCAAGGCGACCAGCACATCTCCGAAGAGGAGTGTAGCCTGCAGTCGGCTTTGTTCGACGATGAGTGACAAGCTCAAGCATTTCTGTTTCGCAAGAAATGCGCAAAAAGGTTCCATGCTCTTCTGTTGCTGGGGGGTCGCGGTAGGGTTGGGCGTTTGCTGTTAACGTGCTCGAGTCGGGTTAGAGGTTGGAGAGAGTAGGCGCAGAGAACTGGCTATGGCACTGTGGGCGGTGCTTGCTTAAACAGACGCGGCGCCAGAGGTGGCAGGTTGTTCTTGGCGGCGCAGCTCTTCCTTGAAGGCGCGGCGCCATGCGCGGCGGTCGCCGCCGCGGCTGGCGCCGCGCCTAAAGAAAGAAGAAACTTTTTCTTTTCTTTCATTGCCACTTGTCACGCCGCGCCCGGCTGTGCTTTCAATTTTGCGGAGACGCTATTGCCAACGACCGCTGACC